GGATCATGTTCATGTCGTGCTAGTTGCGGTTTTCTATTCAATGCAAGCGCATGATCTAGCACCACTCAGAGCGAGCTTGCATATAGACAGACCAGTACAGGTAGATGGGTCGGTAGGCAGGTAGGTAGTTCGTGCAAGTCCATATTGTTCACGTGCGCCCGCTCAAATACATGCGCACCAATCAGCCAACATTATACACATACATTGTACAAAGCCGATGACGAGGACACCGACCATCAATCTATCGGCCAATACCGCAACGACGTGTTCAGTAGATACGAAAACCTCTGCATGTATGTAACACGGCTGGAAGGAGAATCACCGGCACGTAGAACATGTTGTGCTGTGCTGTGTGTATGTTGTATTCGATTGTTGAGTTTTCATTGTCCCATAACAGCTGGGGGTGCCGGGGGGAAGCAGGTTAGCCCAATGTTCGACGCAGCAGTGCCGCCGTGTAGCTAGAAATCTGAACACATCATTACATCCGTCGAGCAGACAATAGGCCGAATTCTTTTCGTTGCATGCTTGCATGACTTCTTCCTAGAGTTGTACAGGCTCTTAACTGCTCGTTTGAGCTGGTACATTATCTGTCCGCCCCCTGAGCTTACCGCGTTAACTAGCTGAATGGTTAGCGTAGGCGTGCAGGTCAGGGATATAGCATTCAAATGCTAAATCCGCTGAGTCCTACGTGTCCTACGATACTATTATAAAATATTATGCGATGAATTGGATTGGACATGTTAATGATCTACCGAGTTTCGGAAGCATACTGAAACACGCATAGAACCGCTTTCACAGGTTCAGGACATCTTTCAGATAAGCTCGGCAGGGTTTTAAAACAATCCAACTTAGTCTAAATTGGGCATGCAATTTTGCCCGAAACACCTGTATATAGTATTCAGCTAGCTTTATCTACATTACATTACCAGGAGTGCATAAACACCGTTTGGACCAAGTGCAACAATTGCACCCAAGGAAAAGTCATCACGAGCCTGCTTATTCGCAATTCAAATTATGGCAAATTATATAAAAAAGGCAAAAAATTGGCATTTCATGTACCGTCAGTTTCAGTGTAAACAGGTTTTTTTTTTTTCTAAATGGAAACCTGAATTTTTTAGGCAAAATGTTATTGATTATTATGCAAGCGACTGATCCGCTTTATTATCCAATTCGTGACTAATCTCATCTTCTAGAATAATGTATCAGATTTCCAAGGCATTTTCCGGCCTTTATATTTTTAAAAATTGTCGGGCGCCACAAGAATGAGGCCTGCAACTAAATGCACTTATAGGGGATTGGGAAAGAAGCCTTTTTGCAAAATTGGGGTAAGCCAATTTTCGTACATAGGCTTCGTTCCGCTTCCCAGTAGTATAGACATGAAAAAAATGTTCAAGATTTTTATTTAGTAATAAACCTTTATTAGATTAAGTAGATTATTAGATTTAAGAATGAATTTTTTTGCGTTCTGAGTCCAGTTGGGCTTTTTTGCGATATGTCAAGGTGTTCATAGAAGAACAAAGCAGTTAACAAACTAACCTTTCCTAATACATATAAAGGTCTAAGCGAAACCTGCGCTTAAAAGGTTAGAAACAGTCAAAGGTTATTGATATGGTATCAGGAATCTCGACACATCAGCAGTTCTTAGACTTCTGCACTTTGCCTGATTTAACACCTTAAGGCGGAACGGCTGATTTCGAGCGTTCAGCAATGGCTTACAATATCACTAGCAATTTTTTGCCCTCAAAGTTTTGCGTTTAATTATGCTGGGGTAACCGGGTTGTTTAACAACAAACCGCAAACGTAGCAGATGGTGCAATATTGCATAGAAGTATTAGAAAGTCCTAGTCCGTTTCACGGGATCCGACTTGGTGTCTCACAGATTTCGACACAACTGCGCCATCGTTACATATATATATATATATATATATAAACTGTTTTAGGACATCTTTTAACAAGAAAATATGAAATGCTGCCGAAAGAAGTGCGATCAAAAAGGGAAATCAAACGTGTAAGATTCAAAAAAGGTGCAAAGTCAAAGTCGGTTTTTCAGAACACGCTAACTAACTGCCAGATTAGAACGTGGTAAACCACTTTCATTTGGTTCTTAATTTTGAATTAGCGCACATGTTCTTCAATGCTCTGTTATAGCCATCGTCAATATAATGTTGTAGTTAGAGGCATACATGGATGCTAGACCACACACATGGCACTCGTTTGAATCGTTCCTCCAATTGCTCAAGTTAATGCTTCATTGATTCTTTCACCGACCGCCGCCCCCGCTAATCCTCCGGAAAACTCTCCGGTTTAGCAAGCGACTCTCAATTTGCCTGCCCCACGCTCTCATGTGGTTGCGATCGACGCCTGAGATGTCGAATCTTTCAGGTTCATACATCATCACATGCATGTCTGTACGGTGTGCAGTCTGCATTAAAGCGAGTCGTTCAAACGTGGAAGCAACATTTTTAGCTTCCTATCCTACACTATGTTGGCGGCTTATCTATGATGGGTTCGATTGGCTTGGCCCGCCAATGCAGAACACAACGTCTTGACGAACGCAAGCCGGCAATCGGTGAAGCTCGTTCCGATGACATCACCGCATTTGGGTGTTCGTCAAAGCCGAACTGTATGTTAAGATCGGAGATAACATCGATAAAAAGGCACCACGGGCAATAAACTTAATTCTGAAAGATCTGATCGGCGACTGAGTCACGCGTTGGGCGCTGCTCGTCATCTGTTGTAGCGCCATCAGCACGGCCTGATAACCGAAGGCACCTACCGAAAATGGCTTTGCCTTGACAGGCACCGCTGCTTTGGGGAATTCATGCTGCTGCTGTTGCCGCCGCCGACGCTGTTACTGCACTCTTTGATTTTCTAATGTTCACTCTGACACTAATTCTGGGGTCTCGGCAGAAAAGAATGTGAGTTGCGACAAAGGAGATCCATATTCGGTTGAGAGTCAACTTCATTCAACCACTGCTGAAGTCTCGAAGGGACTTGACTTCAGTGGAATATAAGATCGGCATATCATTGAACAGAATATTCTGTTCTAAAATATTTTCTATGGCATAAAAAAAAGGAGACAAGAGAAGCAGTATAGCGGATATACGAAGTGCGCCATTGGCTAGTGCACGCAGAACCAATATATGACAGAATGATCCCGCACGTCGAATGACTGATGGGTTCTCAGTTACCGAAGCCCTGAAATTTCACTAGTTGTTGTTTCGGGAAAAATGAAACAAACATTGAACCTTGCTGATTAGTGAAGATATTGATATGCTACCGCGAAGTATCATGTCTATTTCGATTGAGTACCGACGTCATTATCGACAGTTGCATTAGACATAAACACTACTTACCGTAAAAATGTATCAATATATTTGTAGATATTGATGTTTTGCACCGAAAAAATTCGGAAAAGTGTACAAGTATCAGCACAAAAGGCTATATATACGGCTTTCGGCTCCAAAACAGTTGCTTTTCTTAAAAATTATATGTCTTCTTCCATTCGAAAGTAGTTTAATAGATTTATCTGTCGCATTATGCTTAATGGCAAAATTAGTCGAAATAGCACTCTCGATAGATTAAGAAATTTAGTTAATAAGCGACCTAGTGTTGATCAGCGAAAGCCTCAATTTAAAATCGAAATATCTGAAAGGTATTAATTCCATTCGTAAGTGATTTATGCGATTGTAGTTTAGTATCATTTTTTAAGTGGGGGACATATTACGCCTCAATTCGGAACACTTCAGTAATAATTACAATTATTACAAAGGTCCGATATGTTGATTTCATATGATAGGATGATTTCCTTTGTTTACAGATAAATGTTTATAATTGGTCTTTTTTATAGGCTTTCAAAAATTCGTCGCTAAAAAAATAGCGTGGCTAAGCTAGAAAAATAGTTGTGAAAAGTTATTAAACTATTGCCAATGCGCAGCTGAAATGCATCAGGTTGCAGGCAATGAAAATGGGTCATTTATATGTTAATTTATAGATCTGAGCTGCTCGACGAAGTCTTATAAGAAGTAACTCAGTACTCGGGCTGTGACATAACCGATCGAAGTTATGTACCATTTTGTTTCAAATCGACTAAATGCCCTCTTTTCTACAAATAAGCCGCGTTGTTCTCTTCGCGATTAACAAGTCGTGCTAAATGTATAGCTGCCCCATAGTGCTACATATGTACCCTATTAGTCTGCATAAATGTATGCCATTTACATTTAGTTTCAAATGCATTTTTGCATTGTTCAAATTTCATAACAATTAACACTCCTGTGCTGAAAAAAAAAGTTGACTTTACAAAAAATATATTATATTTGCCTTTCAAAAGGTGTCACATCTTCATCTTTTGTAAGACTATTGGTTACATTTAGGCGCTATTTGGGTTAAAAAAGATGTCAAGCTATTGGTTGTTGGGTAGATATCCCTTTATTAGCTTTAAGAAGCCGTTTACTGCTCAATTGGTCGTATATCCGCCGACCTCGGATTTTTTATTCCTAAATCGTGAAACAGAAATCGCTTATTAATGTGCATTCCAAACTTCTCAATGGTTCATTGAATAATAGGGCGAGTGCACTTGAGCATGTATTCAAGTTGTGCTGTTTCAAGAGCGTACTAAACTTCCTGCAGTTCCTGTACTTCTAAAGGTCGTTCCAGAAAGATATGATTTTGTGTGTACCGGCTATGCATTGGTCTTTATAGGTACCTTTGAGCTTTGTATTTTCGCATCAGTCAGCCTAAAGCTCACCTTCAGTTAGTCGAAAATTTCTATTTACTGTGTGTGGCAACATGATGGCCTTAATATATATATATATATATACGATCACGTTATATTACGAATTAAAACAAGTTCTTAACGAAACTCAATAAACCAGACATTTAATTCTATGTGAAATTCTCTGACTAAATTTATTATATAAGTCCAGGCTTCCAATAGGAACATTTATGTTTCAGCGGCGCACTTAGCATACTGACAGGTTTTATCAACGCGTTTCCTTAAGGTTTGAGAAAAACACTCGCAGCTGTCAGATATGAGCTGGCTAGACAAGTACACGCGTGAAACAGTGTTCTACCAACAATTACTTTAATCAGTATACCTATCATCTGGTACAACATAAGGTAAATTTAAGTTTTATCAATAAGTAAATATTTGAAGATAGCTCGTCTATCGTCATTCTTATCTCACATGTTTTTTGTTATTCATCTCTACTTTGCATATGCTGATTGTATTGCATCTGTAAAACTGTCTTATCCTGGCACTTTTAATTCTACTTATCAGCAGTTCTAGGTACAATTTCAGCCAACTGATTTTTGCGCGCGTCATTTTCAAAGCAGGCAACACAGTTTGTTACGAGAGAACTAATAGTCAAGGATATTAAGACGCCGTCCCTCACCCGGCGGCAAGTGCGTGAAACACACTCTCTTGTCAACAAAATTCAGCAGGAGCTGTCGATTTCTTTATCAGCACATGTCAAACGATAAGAACGTTGTACAGGGCTGCTCTTTCTTTTGCTATACGTTCAAGACAAATGATGGATACTAAACAGCTGTTTATGTTTTAGTTATTTTCGGTACTCGCACCTCCTGACCTCTGGTAACGCCCTAGAGTACGTCGTGTCGTGTATATGTTTAATAACCTCATCAAATTATACTAGTGACGTTCTCAAATCTTCGCCAGTGCATGTGTCCAGTAACTCCATGCGGGATGCGCGCTAGCGCCAGCAGAACTGTGTCCTCCGTATATGGACACAGTCCACACACCGAAGAAACTGAACATCCCTATCTAGAAGCACTTTTGGCGCTCTTCATCTGGGGTTTAAACTTAGTGTTCTCTATTGCGAGTAAGCTTACTCCACGATGGATCCGATGGTGTCCAACTTCACCACAACAATTGCTTGAAGCAGAAAGCCGCATGTTAATGCATCTCAAGATGAAATTCGAACTGCGAGATGTCACAATAGATAACTGCACAGGCGGCAAGGAACCGCACCGTATACGGACATTTACTATACAAGGCGATGACAACAGCCTTATGCCTCTTGTCCTTTTGCACGGTTTCGGAAGTGGCCTAGGAATGTGGGCGCTCAACCTCGACAAACTGAGTCAGTCAGGCCGTCGCTCAGTATACGCAATAGATACATTGGGCTTTGGAAGTTCTTCGCGACCGCAATTCGCTACCGAGGCGGCTGAGGTCGAATCACAGTTTATGCACTCGGTGGAAAAGTGGCGTCAGGCAGTGGATCTTCGTAAGGCGATCTTTATCGGTCATGGTCTTGGAGGATTTATTGCAGCCAGCTATACGCTTAAATTCCCTGAACGAGTGGCCCATCTCGTTCTTGTTGATCCTTGGGGTTTACCTGAGCGATCGTCGCACACCGAACGCCATCTCGTGATTCCGTCTTGGGCGAAAATGGCGGTCAATCTACTCCACCCGTTCAATCCATTGGGTGTGTTACGAGCAGCTGGCCCATTGGGCCCCCATCTAGTTCGCAAGTTCCGACCTGATTTGCGCAAGAAGTTCGATCATGTCATCAGCGACCGCAAAGTAGTCCCGGCTTACATGTACCATATGAACACACAAACTCCAAGTGGCGAAGCGGGGTTCCGCTGCATGATGAACTCACTTGGCTGGGCGCGTCATCCGATGCTAAAGCGAATGGCGCAAATTCGTCCATCGATTGCGATTACATTCGTGTATGGATCAAGGTCATGGGTTGACAAAGGTCCAGGAGTGCGTGTCAAACACATGCGGCCCCATTCGTCAACCGAAGTAGAAGTGGTCGAGGGCGCTGGTCACCATGTGTACGGAGACAAGCCAGACGAATTTAATAAACTCATCATCGCAGTGGCAGAACAAGTCGATGTGTCGCCAGACAATAAGGACGCTCTTCTTGAATAAACTGGAAATTGGAATCTTGGATCAACAATTAGCATGCCCCCTTGCCTGAATTGACCAATTCCGCACCACTCGCGCTTGCGAATGTCATAGAAGCGATTTGCACTGTTATTATTGTACATAAAAACACACACCATCGGCTTATGTGTACTACCCTCTATAAAAGAACTGTTGCACTATATATAGTTAACAGTGTATAAAGTAAAATTCAAAGTATCGAAGATGTGGTAAGTGAACTCTAAAATATTACGTCTATCCGTACAAAAACGTGGTTGCATTTAAACTAAAAAGACAATTTCATTAGATTTCATTTTTAAGCTGACGACACCCCTAAGCATTAGAATCTAGGTTTTAACCTCCACAATGTCAGATATCGACTGACGCACGGCGACCTCTACCGACTGGTTCATCAACACTGACTATATCCCTTGGCTCGCAGACTGAAATTTAACAATCACATCTTATTACTTAAATATATGTTATTAACTCATGAGTAAGAGATGATTAGTTCGCCTTGCGAGACTCCCAAAGAGAAGACAGGATCAACCGCTAAATGATCAGTTCTTTGTCACTGAGAAGAATAAAAGTATCCGTGTAATAGATTATGGGACGATATAACTAATAAGCTAGTTTCGGTTAAATTTTCAATTTTTTCAAGATCAATTATTTCGAAGTAAATAGTTGCTTCCAGGCAAACTTCATCATATGATTCTTTCGCTTCATAGAAGGCAGGGTTGCATGGAACATGGAAGCATAAATTATTTATCATCATTGTATGAATAAAATAGTATAATAGACAAAGTTTTTTTTTAAATACTCCTAATATCTGTGTGTTAAAAAAGTAAGGTTCATTTTAATACCTCAAACGTCACAAAATTTTTTTGCCATCACCTGAATGAAGACAGCTTTTGTGAGGAATAAGTCTGCAAGTTGTCGCGCTAACTGTAAATTACTATATCGGGTTTTTATCCTTGCTATATCCGAAATAAAATTGTCTTGTGCAGAATAGTTATTTTTTTATCGGAGTCAACCAACGGTCCAGGTTACGGACAACACTAAGGCAAAACTATTGTCAGTTACTCCGCTTTAAGCTCGATCGAATTATCAGTGCTGTCATCATCGCAATATTTTACGCAAAAGGTCGCGTGGGACAACAGTGGAGACGACTGCCTTTACCGCTACTATTTCAATTCCAGTGGGCAAACGAGAAGTGTCGAAATATAGATTCTAAATTTAAAAGAAATGAGAAGTCCAGTGTAAGAGATATGCCACGGGCCTAAATGACGTTTGCAATAGTATTTTCAAATTACCATATGAACCATACGATATTTGTTGTCTTATTTTTTTTACAGCAAGGTATGGTTTTCACGATTACTTCGATAATGGCCGCCAAATTTCAGTAACCACTAAAATTTAGACGACTTATTGATGCATCTTTTCGCGTTATTAATTATTACAAAGAACATCGTGACACGTGTAACAGTGCAAACTTTAGTTATTCACTTCGTTAGAGTTATTCATTGATTCTAAATTAGAAAAAAAAAATTAAATAATAAAGTAAAAATACCAAAAACTATTTTAAAGTGATAACTGTAACCGAATCTTTCATCAGTCGTCATTGTTTACCATATATTTGATGTTTACATTGTACGAAATGCAGTTATTTGTGGTCATGTTTATCAGTATAAGCGTCAAAGTCCATATGCGTATTTATTTACGTAGAAAAATAACTTTTTCAGTTAGGTATAATAAACGTCAATCCTGAAATTTTTTTAGTAAACATTGTTTTCGAGACTAGCGGCTGCGAATATAATACCAATATTTTTGTTGCTTGTTGTTCTTGATTTTTTTTTGCTATGAATCTCGTTTATTTAGTTGGCTCGATGGAAACTTGTAGTATCTATCGTATCGCAGCCAATAGCGTCATTCAAAAAAATAGTACGAGCGAAAACATGTGGTGATGAAGCAAACACGAAAATTGCCATGAAACACAGTGATTTTCTGGCACGTTCGTACTCTGAGCGAAAAAAATAGATTAATGCATTTCTATACTCTCATATGCAAAAACACATAATAATGGATGATGTACGTATACCGTACGAATATTTATTGTTCCATATTCATTTGGTAAGCTTGTCCGATCAGTGATTGTTGGTTCTACAAATATTGTAGCTCATAAGAGCAACTAGTATGCTATTCATCGTCTAACAATAATGTAGTTCTAACTAAAATAACCTATAAATATGATCTGTACAAGTTATGCTTAATACAATAGCGGTGCCACACTACGCCACTAACATCTCATTAGAGCACGTTCTAGTCGATCATTGAACTTAGCAAATGAACATCAGCATTAGCAATATAACGGCCATAACGGAGAAATATAAACAGGGCTTAGGCTAGATTTTGCTGAAAGAGTTCATAAGTCGTGTAGGCTTCTGATTTTTCGAAATTCATAAAATTATGTTTGCTATTTATAGGCACACATTTTCTAAACAGCAGTTATCATTTTTAGATCCCTACGTGACTAATCGCAAAAGTTCTTACTGTCACGTGCACAAGGGATAGTTCACGCACGTCATGCACGGTTAGAAAAACGAATAGTCTTACTCATCGTTCTAAGCTTAGCAGTTTCTACTTTGGAAAGTTTCGTGCACGAGCTACACGACTTAGTGGTGCTCAGTTGATCGGAAAGTTCATTTTTGACGCTTAAGAGGACACAGGGAACTGTCGACTATATCAGTGTGTCTCGAAGTTATCATTCGGCTTTATATTTGGCGAATATCACTTTCGTTTGCATTGAAATCGTTCTCGAATTTCACACTTTCGCTCATCGAAATTTGAACTTCCTGTTGCGTCTCAGCAATCGGTGGACTCAAGTGGTCTGAGACTACCGTCGCCGTCACTACCAGGGTCTAAACAAAAAAAGATAAGACATAGCCAAATTGTAGAGTTAATTTGCTGCCAGTTCAAACACGGCCTGCATAGATGGACAATACCCTAGGCATTCGAAATTATAAGGTAGATACGCTTTTGTGACTCTTAACAAAACCATTTTTTATCTTTGCAATATGCGTGATGACTTTTTGCTCACATGACTGATGATAAGCTAGAAAAATGAAATCAAGACAAGTCAATGTTTTGCCTATTTCGTTGCAAAGCTGATGTTTAACAAATCTAACAGAGTCTCGACGATGATGATTTACACTACATGTTAATCTGTACGGTTCATAAAATACGTCCGTCAGTGAGCGCTTACCAAAAGACCCATCAGAGCGACAATGACCAGAGTGGTCCGTTCGTATCCAAGATACTGGAGCAGGATACCTCCTCCAGTTGCTCCACTAAGAGACCTACGTTGAAATGAAAGAACTTGATTAATAATTAACTGAATAGAGAGTACTAAGAGAACAAAATCTAATAACTCGCAATTAATTAAACTCAGCTTGTTTAAACAATGCGTTTAGCAGGTAAAACTATACAATTTATAGCGTGCCATTTACGTAAAATAACTTATCTCTTCATTTTGCTATATTTTATTTTAGAATAGTGGCAGAACAACTAGTTGTTTAATAGGGTAAATAAAAAACGATTTGTAAAGCTGGATTATAATAATTTTTATGCGTGTCAGTGTGCATCGCAGTATTTTACGATGAAAGGGAAAGCGTTGCCTAGGCTATAAGCTCGGTCTTTTTTTATGTTGAAATAAAGCAAATTAAGATAAGGAACAGGAAGCTACTGTTTAATAACACTTCTTACCCAAGGAAAAATGCAGACTGAATAACCCCTGCCATTATCGAGTAAGTGCGGTAGTCATTCGGGAAACCTTTGATTGTTCTGCGAAATCAAAACAAGCCAGATCGCTTCGAATTTTTGATCAATATTGTTAAGTGTCAACGTGGGAGTTTTCCGTTATATTTTATAAACTAATCAATAAGCATTAGGTCATTTACTCGCTACATTGTCAGTGTGACATCCCTGAGTAACCTCGCTAGATTCACTCGAGATAGAATGCAATCCAGTTCTATGGTCTAAGCATATGCCTTATTATCTTTTGTCTATTACTTGTAGATACATATGGACACGTTCAGACTTGTAAGGTTAGAAAATGTTGCCTTCTGGCAGGGAAATAGAAAATTACGCACGTGAGATATGTATGTCCGTGACTGTAACTGGAAATGTAAAACGCCCCAGCGCCTATGCCTAAAATCGCTTGCATCAGCAGAACCAGCCACAATTGTCTGTAATAGTAATAGGAACAATGATACTTATTAGATCGATCGAAAAAATTGTTAAACAGAAAAGACAGGTAGTATTTCTTACCTTTTTTTTTTATCAATGTGACAGCTTACTACAATCCTCTAAATAGGGTCATTTTTTGCGACGACTGTTATGCCTAGTTGAACTCACGGCCTTTGAAAAACGCATCTCGTTATCATTAGAAAAGCTCAACGAATGAATGTTGGCATAATGTACTTTAATGCAATGATTTCGAAATATAAAGACTTTTGACAAATTAATTCATATTTGCAAGGTCAGTTATCAATTACGTATGGGACACAAGTGCACCTACGATCGAAATGGGAATAAAGGTAGGGCAGACGTGAACGCCCAGGAGATCATGAGGCAGACCCCTCCGAAGATAGCAGTGATTCGAATGTCTCTCTGAAAGGCGTGTACAAGGTAAAACCGCTCTGTAAGATTAAATTTTCAATCATAAATATCTGCAGTGTACATTGTATGTTCAAGACTCTCCATATAGTAGAGGCAAAATATAATCGCGCAAATCTTAACTGGAATAAAATAACATACAATTATCTTGCCTATGCGACCGTAAATCAGAGATGCGACAGAGTAGCAACAGGCCGAGATCAGGAAGGTGGCTCCCTTGGACGCAGAATTAAGGCCGAAACGATCGAGAAGGATTGCTAAAGTCGCATCATTAAAGGAAACCGCGACGAATCCGGTAAAGACGGTGACGACATCAATAAGCATTCGCCAATCGCTTATGATAGCTTTTATTGAACCTGAATCCGATCCACCTTCCATGTTTGAGGAGTCTCTTACAGAATCGTCGGTCACTACGCACATGTACAAAGAACGACTATTAATATTTGCGCCGCCGTGACGCAAGAATTTACCGACAGAGAATACATTTGTGATCACCTAATTACAGATGTATGATTAGTTTTTTAAGTACACTTACTTTTAACTGGAGGCATTGAAATGGCAGCTATAACCATAAACGTAATAGTCATCCCAGCAAATGTTAGGAACGGCGTCGGGAAGCCGCCAATCTGAAATGATTTAGCGTATTCGCAGTTATCTACCTCTTCAATGCATAAACTATGACCTGTAGCATTTTGGGTTTTTGCTTGGATGCGTTGAATAGAACCCTAAAATAATCTTTTATTGGTACTAGAGTAAAATTAAGAACCTCCTCACGTGAATGCTAGTCCGTTTGGGTTATTCTATTGGATAGGAAAATTTACTGCTTCGGCAAAATCGATGCTTATTTTGCTACTCTTGTGAAGAAACAATTAAAATTTCATTGTCTAAAATAACAAATAACAAATAGATAACGAAGCAGGAGTGGAGAAATAGGTTTGTAGATACTGAGAAGAAAATAATTCATACACACCAGTGTTATCTGGCTTAGTTTCGGTTATGTTTCTGTATCATTTGTTCATCTGCGGATTTAGCTTGGATAAGTGTGAATATTTAATTAGTTTTTGATCCATTATAACGTTTAGTTCAACTATATTCAATCACTAGCAACCTAGCTTCTATAGGATACCAACTAAAGTTTCTGCAATCTTCAGAAGGAAAAAGCTAAGTACCCTTCTCTGTCTTAACTGAACAGAAAACATCCACACATACTGTCACGGTCGAATTTCGTAAATCATTCGCCGATGTCCATATAAATGGCATTATGTACTCATACACGTAATTTTTTCGCAATGGAGGGTCACATTGAGTGCCGCGTTCTATGGAACTAAATACCACAATGTCTAAAGTCACTCTTAATCACCTTCTGCCTGATCTTTGAAATGTACGATGCTCAACTGTGCTTCGAACACAAATAAATTGACCTGTTACAAGATCGTTAATCGCGAATTTACTCGGTCGGTCTGAGTAGAAAAACGTAGGTAATGAGACTGATGCTTTTATTTGATTCTAAATGTTATTCTACTTTTCCTCTTCCTCTGCATATTTATACCTAACACAAGTTGTTTGTACAAATCGCTTACCTCATGCAAAATCCCACCAATAGTCGGACCCACCATTACTCCTAAACCAGACATCGTTTCGATGATTGGCTGCACATACAAGCGAATACAATTTGGTAAATTAGTTTGAAAAAACGAGTTATGCCTTCTAAAATGAAATTCCGTTGTATAAGTTACGAAATATAGTGAAATAGTACGCATTTTTCATTCAAAGTTCAATGGAAACACGCAGAGAACATTGGTTCGTAGCTGATCATAAGTCAACTCCAATTGCAATGAAGTACACACTTACAATGAAAACTGTCATTTTGTCGGGAAAGTTTGCTGCGGCAATTCCGTAATAAGTGACACTAGACATTGTCACCCCGACCGACTGAAAGCCACGGCAAAAAACTGAACCAATAAAGAACCATGTTGAATCGTGGATTCTGTATAACATACTGCAATACAAGAGCAAGAAAGGATTACATGCTGGCTGCACAGCATCGGCTTGGCACATAAACTGTAAACTCCTGGTTTGTTTTTTCTTTTTCGGAAATGGCTCTACGGAGTTATGTGAAATTATATTCGAAAGACAAATAACATCATTTTCAACCTGTCGAAAATTTATATATATTTCTTCACTATAGTGGTTTTAGGATTTTTGCACTACATCTCTTGTGAGATTGAGATAAATGCCAGTATACTCCTAAAACTTTAGTTAGCATTGATTAAAGTGATCAGCAGTCTTGATTTCTTCTACAAGTTAATATTACTAAATTCCCATATTAATTATAAAGTTGACATGTACCTGAACAAAATTATAAACGTGCTGTCTATAAGAAGACCGCATAATAATATCTTCTTTGGTGCGTAGCCTTTGGATAACTGAAATCAATCAAATAGGATTAATTTTCTGCTATGAATTAGTTTATACTTTTGTGATTTATAGAACCAACAAGGTATTGCAAGTACTCGACTATTTTTTCGATGTAAACATTTTTCCAATCTAAACTATGATTGCGTTCTTTTATGTTCATTAAAAAACTCATCGACAAGCCAAACCACCCGCTCCTAACACGGTCATACCTTATGTAGTTACAATTGTATTTGTTTCATGTACAGAACTTCTCGGTTCATTAAAAGAACTATTTTCTGGTGTATTCAAAGTGGATTAATTAACTAATGCACCCAAAACTGCAACATCTCTGTTTAGGCAGTAGTTACAACACGGCCGATGTTTTGGATATGTTTCGTTTAATACAGTAATATGGCTTCTTAACAGGCACGGTAGACGTATTTTTAACCGCTAGGCCACTCTCTAGCATAAATCGGTGTTTTTTATTCACTCCAAAGGATATGATAGGTCAATTTCTATTAGGAACAAGGCTGGACAGTCTCGGTAAGCGATGCCGGATTGGAATGTTCAAATCGGATTTACAGTGTTTTAGAAGAATTTGCATTTCATGGTAAGGCAAACACCTCAATAGGATTAGAATCCTGATCGAATTGGAGTCCATTCAATAACCGACGCAACAAACAAATTGATATGCTGTACAAATACAGTGCGTACACACGTTTCAAAGAATTATTAATACTTACCATTTTCCCCACAAAAGAGCTGCAAAGGAAGCCCACTAGCGGATAAACGCCGAACAGGATGCCTATTTCTATCGATGTGTTCCCTCTTTCTACAGCCTGAAATTTCCATTATGCTGTCGTTTAGTTCACTGAGCAGAAGCGTAGCAACTAAGGACTGGGCGTTTAAATGGATATAAAGGTGAAAATGAAGCGTGTGTGCTTGATTACGTTTCAGAGTGGGATGATTTGTTAGATTGGTTACAATTAAAATGTTTTTTTTTTTAAACAGCTTCCTGGACGCTGACTTTAGGCGCTAAAGCCAGAGCGTTAGTCGAAAGTGTATTTAGAATTTTTCTTCAAACGTTGAGCACACGCACCTCCTCAGGGTAGAACGGAGCTAATCCGAGACAGCACAATAATTGTACCATTTTCCCAAATGACACCACAAACGCTGTGGATATCTTTTCAAATGTCCAGTATCGGTCGGCCGACGAAATTTTCGAATCCATTGTGCTGCTCTGTGCAGAACGGTACACGGGCTACAGCACAGTTACAGTTACAACGGCTGGATCTTGAAGCGTCACAGAACTTGAATGATGTAAATGATGGCGCCACTTCCATAAAGCTGGACAGACTTTGATCTACATCCACGCGATTATGGCCTTTTTAGTTACATGCAGAATTACGAGGTTGATCCTATTTCTTGTTTCGTTACCGAAGACATACCCTTTACAGACACTGATCTCAACCTGCTACAGTTGCCAAGCCTTGCTTGGTCGAACGAGGATCGTCGCAAGAAAGTAGGCAGCACGGTCGTAGAGAAGGAACTGTGTCGAAATCGGGGTCGTGTTTCGTCCAGGATAACGTGCGATTGGGCTTTTACCAACCGACCAGAAAACACAGACTGCTTACACCTAGAGCTGTCTATCATATCTTAGCATCAATAGGACTTCTAGGCTGTAAACCTGGACTTGACTACCTCTCATCCGTGCAAATATTTGTATAGAATAGGTTCGTCAAATGACACCTACATTCAAACGTCATCTACCGTAACGCGTCCACTCGACACCCAATTTAATACGCTTGAAAACAGTATAACCGAGAAATTGGCTGTTAATCTTTTTTCTATTCCGGCAGTAAAAACTAGATCATAATTTTGATTCGCGAGAAATAATCCGAGATATTAAGGACATACTTGCTAGGCAACGCTCTACTGAAATTCACTTAATGAGAGATCCCTTCAAAAGTTTGTCCGGCGAGACTCTAATTATAAAAAGCGCAGCTAATGTTTCACATCATGAAATGATCACCGGACAATGTAAAATCCATGGATTATTCCTAGACAGCACGCAGTGCTCCTGCAATTTTACTTTAACCAAGAAAAAACTTAACACTGCAATAAAGACTTGCTATAGCCCACCTAACAAGCTCAAAAGTAGTATTTCCCCAATGCAAAGTGGTGGAAATTTTATCAGCGAATTTGCAAGCTGCCGCCGTATTTCACGTGAGATGGCATTGATCTGATGACGACGGTCGGATATGAATAGACGCTTATTCAGCCATACTGAGGAATCCATAATTTTTGTTAGATAATGACGACCTGCTATTGACGCTGCTCTGTTACCCGACCATGCCATTCTTGATGAGAGTCGCAAAGACATTGAAGAATTTATTGGTCTCTGAATCACAAATGGATTAAGAACTGAAATGTCTATTTACGAGGCTAAGCACTTCGCTGAGTAGTAATTGTTGAAGGTAACCAGCTCTTCCTACAGAATGCTGTCGATGTAATTCAACAACTAGTTTGCTGCAAACGTTCGAGCTGCTCCTGCAAACACCAGCCAGACGGGTTAATCGTGTACCAACTTTTGCATGGTATACTGACAACGGAATTACGTTTGAAAGTTGTCATCACTGCAAACAATCCTACGATGTATTGAGTTTGCACTAAACATGCGATTCCAAGCACTATCGGTCTCAAAGCACCGTTTCTGCCAAATAACAGGCCATCTACACCAAAGCAGGCCGTACGCCAGCTGCATTCAATTTCAGATTTATGTTCAAGCCATTTAGATGAAGAAGGCGGCTATTATCGATTAATGTAGTATTAGGTACCGCATTTGCTTCCGACGAAGTTGCGGCGATCGTTGTGTTCTGGATTACCGGCGCTTGTAACTGAATAAAACATTGCACCGCCATTCACGCCACCGATAATCACCAACACGTCCATGCAACCATCTAATCGCTAATGGTCGTAATCAAGCTGCGGCATCACCGTTCTACTGTTTCTCGACGCTGGTAGCTCATTTAGATCACAAGCTCCAGCAGTCCATTCCTGATCAGATGGAAGACTAAACAAGATGTTCAAGACCGATTTACGTAAGGTTCTCTGAGTGTACCCAACAAGGGCATACAGCACCTTTTGAATTGGTTTTGTCAACCGCCACGACACAAAACACCGATTGAAATGCTAACCTACGCACACGCCTTCATCAGTTCGTTAATCAGTCGATATGAAAAAAGAAATCAGTCGTAGTCACTCGCTGCTCTAAGATGGATCTACCCCAACACCTAGGTCATCGTTTTGAGTATGGATAAGCATTATGACTGAGTTCCTTAGCTGTGTAACTTATTGCCACGCAAACACAATTTAGTTAGGCCGTTGGTAAACGTATCCCGATTGGAAACAAGCAAGTTCCAGGAGTGCACACGTAAAAGGTCTGCTGATACACCATTCCTTCAAACTTAACTGCTGATACCGATAATACTGAAAATCGTCACCACGCGTATGTCATGAGGCCTACTCTGCTTGCTCTTTCTGTGCCAAGTTAAGCACTGCCTGCGTTACAAGCGATGGACCCGACAAGTGCTAGTCCCGTGACCTTTGAGGTACAGACCGACAAGGCCATCCTGTTTGTCTAGGTGAGGGTAGCCCTCGATTCTAATTGTGCCTTGCAAGAGCAATTATTTTGTCTATTCCTTGCCGTCAGTTTTTGTGACTTACAACTTCCGGTTCCTGAGACCGTCACCGCAGTACTACAAAAACTATGAAGTGTGTACATTCGGCCTTACACGTATATTGCTTATGTGTAGTTCCGGCACTGTTGGTATATCAGTAGCTTTTTTCTTTTGCATAGAGAACACTTATTCCACCCTTGTCAGGCCTCCAACAATCTGAAACTTCTGGTCTTGCTCATCATTCTGCGTGCGCGAGTTTATATCCTTCGCCTCATTCGCGCCTGCATTATTAGCGGGCTAAGATCGCTTTTGCCCTTTCCTCACTTTAGGAAAACCGCGGGTCAACATATTCGTGCTCTGTAAAATGATGTGTTAGCAAAGTAGATGTAATGTAAGCCTTTCAGTGCGCGGCAGCTCCCGCAGCGAACATACTAATCTGCTTCATTAGCTAGGTATTTAATTAGTAGAAGCCCGCAAGCGGTACCACAGGGCGTACATGCCCTGACTTTCCCTTCAATTAAATTGCCAGGTATCTCTCAAACTAAAAAAATACCGATACTAATAATATTAACGGAAATAAAGCTAAAGTAATATATTATATTAATTTGTAGAAATAGTATACTGCTACTAGTAATATAACTACAATTATGTAGTAATACTGCCTTGTCTATAATATTTGCAGTCAGTAGATTTAATTTTTATTTCCTACTGATTTAGTTTTCTGCGAATGTACTGCGGGCTAGGTTGCCAATCTTGAAAGCTTGAAAACTTAACAGACTACGATTTGAGCTGAATCAAACGGAGCAAGCAACAAGAGACCTGGCTTTCTTACAATGCTTCGAATCTGGCCTGACCTGCGGCCTAACCTCTAAGAAATGCACGGTGATCCTTCGTCACAAATGTTATCGGACAATACGATTGGTAAGGAGACAAACGATTATTTGGGTGTTATTCAGGAAAACCAAATACAAGATATGCACGCTTTAATGTACTTGTCGTGATTGGTACGTCATGGATCTCGAAAGAAGAAGTTACCACAAACAGAAAAATTGTCAATTTCTGAGGCCTCGTTCCCTCATTGTGCACCTAGCAATAATATTTTCGCGGAACTCTCTTGTTGTAGGGCCATCATGCGTTTCTCGTAATGAAGACAAACACTTCACTGTAAGCGGCTGTTGTTTTTCATCCTCAAATGACCTATAAAGATGTCATTTTTCGACAACTTACTTTATCATTGGAGATGTACTAAAACAAAAAATGATGCTCAAAAATATTCCTCAACAAGTTAGTTATTGATAAGAGGCGACCTGTTTAAAGCTCAGTTTCTTCGCATTTCACATCAGAAAACCAAATCTTTAGAATGAGAAGAAATCAGACGCTCATATTTTTATAATCTATAATTTCCTGGAAAATATGTTCATGATTTATCGAGTAGAAATGACTTATTAAGCAGTACGCTCGCCTTTCCTTTGACGTAGTAGTTCTGTGACCTAGATTGCGTTACCCATGCCAGCTGTACGAAACAGCCATGTTGCTCGCTTGCAAAATTACCTCTATATTATTATTATATTATATGTCTTCATATTAGGTGCACACAAAAGTTAAGTCCAATATTAGAATATAATTCGCAAACAAACGTACCTTTACTGTGTATCCCTAGCGACTTCACTATACCGGTAGTTACTAGCAAAAAAAACACAAAAGAAATACCTTTACAATAGCATATGAGTTCATAAAGGCGTTTTATGTATTCAACAGAATGTTAGAAATACATCAGTATATTCAAGAAGTGCAACTCATATTTTTATAACATGCTCGATGAAAAGGTATTAGATCCGCACACTTAGCATCAGGGCTGTTAGAACTTGCTCACGTGACAACGTACATGACCGTGTGAATTATAGCTTTTACGACGAGAGGAGCACAAATGTCGATTCAAAACCAGATTTTTTCTTTTTTGAGATCCAAAAGCCCTAAAACATATCCGTCGTGCAGCCAGAATATACTCAGATAATCAATTAACTAAGATGTATACACAGTTTCAAATAGCTGCTTTCATTAACAAATATCATTCATATTATATATACGAAAGTTTACTATCTTTATGCTTGATAAGCACACATTTCCCTTCTTAGTACGAAAACAAATTTGTACCTCATAAACACGATATATAAAAAATTGCAGCATTTGTTGTAATATTTTTAGGTGGTGACTGAGTATTCTCTTGGGTATCAACTTAACACAGTCATGATAATGGTAATTCACAAATGCATGTATTACCACGTTCAAATTTTACAGGTACATGTCATAATATAATAATAACGATTTGAAAATATCCTCTAGCACATTATATTTTGCTAATACTAATTCCCATGTGCATAATCACAGTTTTGAAGGTTATTATTTTCTATCCTGAAAAATGTCCTGTCATATTGATAAACGTTGAGTAAGAGTTCACAAAATCACAATAAAAACAGCATACATTTTTATGATTTGCCAACGTCTGACCGTTTCAGTCGAAGGCAAATTTGATTCTGAGTAGATAACGCATTTTGATCTGACTAACATCATAAACAACGTATTCGTTGTAGTTAAGAATGTACGAGATATTGCGGCTTCCTCGTTTCTTCATATTGGATATATCGTGCAACTGTCCACATGGCACAGTAACTGGGTGTTTATCATCTAGACTGGGGATTTCAATGAAGCTGGTTTCACGCGGGACCATGTAACCCATACCCTTAACGCTGTGCTTGCCTGCTCAATAAAGAAACGTAAAACAGAACACACAATGGTATCAGCGTATCTACTCAGAGACTCTGAAATTAAAGTTGAACTGTGGTTTAGAGAGAATAAGTTTCTAAAGCTATTTATCGGTACATTCCGAGCAACTCAAAATAATATAAATGCAAAGACTGATTCGCAATTGCAGAAACTAAATTGATGCGACTCATTATTATCCTAAACCACGACGACCCTCTGGATTACCTTATTAGACATCCTACAAGGGATGAAAAGAACTATTTAGGGTCTTACCTATTGGAAGCTCACTAGCCTCATAATTCGCCTCGTAAAGTTCATTGACTTCACCGAGGGCCACCTCACTAAGAAGCAGAATACCCTCGTTATGAGCTCGTGACGGAAAACAGTAGTTAGCAGACTTTGATGACGAATCAGCAAAGTAGACACCTTTACCAAACATGTAACCTGTTACTGGTGCTTCTGGTGGGGCTATTCGCAGACCCTGAGAAATGATTGAAGCCCAATTTGACAGGCGCGACCCATGCCAAAGTAGCATTCGATTTGGTATGCGCGAATTAAACCTGTAATCAAAATGTACATGCATAATAAGTTACAGTACTTATAACGGGTTAAAATATAATAGCATAACAATTGTATCACCATCATCCCAAGCGGCTTACAATTTAGGGATTAAAAGAGATAGAGCATGCGCTCGAAAACAAGCACGTCTCGTGTGATGACAATAACAGGCAAATGTTATTAATGGTCAAGTACTGCGTGGCTTAAGTTCACCGTTTAATCTCGTCAGGTTTCGAAATAGAGAAGGCGTCCTGAATGCACATGGTGTATTCATTATGAGTGGGTGCGTGTGTCACTTGAAGATACTTGTTAATGAGTCGTAACTCCGCCGTCGACACCTGCATCAAAAAAGGAAGGCATCTTGTTATAAACTTCATAAATTTAAGCGAACAAAACCTTTTACAAAGATTAACTATAAATATGGACCTAATTCTCCCGGTTCGAAATTCAATGCAGGACTTATTAACGTCACTTCCTATTTAATAAAATCGACCATTATAATCCCTGAAGTTCTAGTTTCTTACCTTTGTGAGACGTGCACCCAGCGAGATATAATGACGATCGATTATATGCATATTGTCAGCAGAAATCTTGCGACGAAGCAATTCTATCGCGAACTGTACGTCGGTTAGTGCCTCGAGCAGCTCAACCTTCTGGCGGATCTCTTCATATGAGCGGATCAAGGGTGGAACCCGCATGCCGAAATCATGAGGGATACGTGTATAAAAGTCGTTACAGGCTTGATTCAACCTAATTGGCGCCAATGAAACTTGAAGAAATCAACAAATGCTTTCCCATACCGGTTCCATTAAGCATAAGCGCTGTACACGACAGAGCCAATATTTTACAGAACTTAAGGTTATTTTATTATATACATCCATGTGCGTAACTTGCTCATGTTTAATTTATATTTCTCATAGTTAAACTGTTTTGTTCACATAGTAAATTTAGGCCCGAAAATTGGAAAAGATAATTGAAAGACTCTGCACGAACCTTGTCCCACGTATACCGTTGGTAACGCAGTCTTCGATCACCTTCAGAGCAGCGTAACCAGCGGCGATTTGGTGCTTCGTCAGATTGCCTAGTGGGGTCTTTTGAGAATCGAATTTAAGTTCCTTAAGGACCACTTCCATCTTTTTTACATTAAAGATTAACTCAACAAAGCTTTTCAGGTCGAAGTCCAAGCAGCTAGGTTGCTCCTCTCGTTGTGTCGCAGTTATTTTTTCAACCTCCTTTTTAAGAGCCTGTTCAATCAATGTGCAAAAACAATTGAATGTAGACGTTACTGCTACTCTGCAGCCTCAGCACTGTACAATATAAAAGCAATTTAAATTTGGCCTTGTAGTGTCAAATGGTCGTTGTAATGACTGAAATTTTACCTTTGAAACCACTATATGGATTCTTAAAAGGCATTCAATATTTGGGAAAGATTTACTTTTTTTTCTTAGGGAGCCCGAGAATACCAACAAGAACATAGGCCGTGTAAGACATGCTATACATGTTTGTAAAAGAGCAAGGAGACTGATAGGCGGTGTAGCAGGCCATATAAATCCCTGTCTGCAACCATAGATACATCTAGCAATTACTTGATGTACCATTACGCATTTTTTGACAAAAGACTTCTTCTACATCACATAAAAATAGACACCGCTTCCTTGTTCGTTTTCTAGCTGCTTATGTTCGTCGACACGGTTTAGGAGCACGTAAGAGCATTAATAGTGCCGTAAATTAAGTTGACCTGATTAATTGCAGAAGTTGTTCATTTCATTCACAATTGTTGTTACTGTCGTTATTTAAAAAAAAACACGTAGTAAACAGTGTTCTGTGTTTAAAAACTGATACAATGACAATCTCGTATGTGGGAAGAGCATGTAGAAGGACCTCCTTTGTTCCCACCTGCGGATCTGTTTCATCAGCACAAACTTGGACGAGGTCGTATTTTCCCTTGACCTTAACGAACCCATGGCGCTCATCAAATTCGTTACACGTTTTGTCGAAGAACTTTTGTTTGAAGATTCCCTTAGCCTTGTCCAGGTCATCAGCACAGGGGATAAGATTGTTTCGACCCTTCTTACCGACACGACCCCAGCGAAACCAAACGTAATATTGATTTCGGTTGTTTGCCTTGGCCAATTGCAGTAGGTAGTACTTATTGTTGTTGAATTCGACATTTGTCTGATTCAGCATCACATCATAGACATCTCCTTCTGCAGATAGACAGCACACAATAAGCAACAGTAGGTGCTAACAGAGTGCATTTGCATTCACTGTTATATTTTGTGTTACACTCCTCAGCTAAAACGATGTTGATTGACATTAGGGTAGCAATACCCAAGGATAAGGTTACCTAAAGTTGGACCGGTTTATTCTCATCAGTTATGACCAACACTAGCTAAGAAAACCGCATTAACAACGATACGCTGTCCTATGTAATGAAAATTACTATAGTAATGACAACAAGAATTAGTAGCTAATAATTTGACTAAAATGAAAATGCCCCAGGTGAACTATCGACACCTCGTTGAATGCCTATATAATAGGTGAATCTGAAAGGAAAAGATGTCTGTCCATAAATGCAAAACTTATAGAACTTGTGGAAACATAAAATAATGTTTCTATAAATCGTAATTCTATTATTATACATATTTCATCAGATCAGATCATTTTAAAGCTAGAATATTAGGTGTCACATTGTGTGTAAAATTATGACATGCATTTTCATGGATACACACCTTGGCTGACCACAATCTGGAAGGAGTAAAATTAGATTAAATATATATATCTATATATGTTTATGTAAATAATAAAAATTCTATGTTGCGCAAGTATCGGTACGCAATCTCGGTGCAATTAATGCAAACTAAGCACCAGAATATTCACTAGAAAAAAAAATTACGTGAACCGTAAGGTTTTTATAATTAGATTATACATTAATATTTCACTGTTTTCGTATATACACGATATCGTATATATATTTGACACAGTTAGCGTGTATGTCTATACTGGATAATGAATTTCAGATATGCACGTTGGTCACTATTATAATGACACACCAATAACTTATTCACAGATAGTGGGTAATATTGACAGACCAGTAGGAATTGAGTAGCCAAATATCCTATCGTTTCCCGATATTACCATTGTTATTAATATTACTATAATATCTGTATATATAATATATATATTGATCGATTCGTAACACCAACGTGTCAATCTTCCAATTACTCAGGCGCACACAGTGTTCACAGTTCGGATTTTACTGCCACGTATGGCTACCATGCATAGAACAGTCTGTGCATGGACCGAACTAGAAAGGACTTTAAACTCTATAGTTGAATTTGTAACCCATAACAAATGAAAAACGTAGCCAACATACGAAATTTTCAAACGGATTTTCAGGACTCCGGTCAACCATTTTTATTATTATGGATCAACCATTATTATTGAGTTGAGACTGTCAACGACTGTCATTTCATTTAGCTTATGATGCTACACATGTTAATGAATTTTTGGTCCTAGCTAAGTCCTCTGCGTTTTTTTTTCGAATCTGACTCAACGTTTCAAAATCTTCTGATATTTTCAGACTACCAATGTTTGTCTTTGATTTGCTTGTCTTAGTTGTTCTCTAAGTAGCAACAGTATCTAAAGCTGTGGGTTCGCCGCAGGACAAGACCTTGCTTCAGATTAGAGTCGATAGGATCTTTATATTTTTTACGGGCGTCGCTACACCAGAGAGAGAGTTCTTAGAAAGCTCCCTGGCACGCTAGTATCAAGCTGTACTAGTCGAATATATCATGCCTTGATTAGTAATGAGAAGTATGGTTTATCTGCTAATTAAGCTTAAGGGCTGTTAAATTTCTGCAGTTCCGCTGCTACTGGTACTATCGTTATGAATTTTTGGTTGAATACACAAAATCACACCAGAAGATATATTAAATTTTGCCGAATCATATCACAGCCCTAGTTGAGCCGTTAAAAGAAATACTATGAAATGCTCATTGTTAGTAAAATGAGTTATGTTTATCATATGCTTTGAAAATTGATTATATGCTAGAACCTTTTCAGGTAATCCGTGCGTTCTTCTATTAATGTCTTTATGCTATAGCATTTACAAACTATTGACTGGTCTGTGGCATATCTTCCGTAAACGCTTAAAACTCCTTTAACTTATTGATTCAAAGACTGATATTAACAATATAAATAGCATGTAATAAAAAGGTTTTACTCTTAAACCTTTTATCTAAATTGCACCTCATCACCATCATCACGAGTAAAAAATCTATATTTATGCTATCTTTATCGATGTATGTCTTTCTCTATAGCAATATTTGGCCAACAATCAAGTCGAAGTATGACTATCAATAGCCTGACCTCCTTTACGAGTTCACAAGAGATATGCAACTGTTGCTATTTAAATAGGCAAAATATAGCCTATCTAACTTTCTTCACCAGAATCACTTACTTTCAACGTAAATGCTTGCCTGTCCTTGAAGGTCCACGCACTCGGTATCTATGGATCTACGTGTTGTGGAAGGATCAGTAGCATGTATAGGTTCTTCTTTTAACCTTTTTTCCGAGCGAAGTATTTCTCTTTTAGGGCGTCGCTTTCGATTACTGAGAGTGGCTACATCGTCCGATTCTCGTAACCGATTACTGTTTCGGCGATGTCGCCTACAAATAGTTTTCAAGTTGTTACCATTGTCCTCATTATTTTGGTCAACCGTCTCCTGTTTGACGATGACATTAGTGGCGGGAGTAGAAAACCGCTGTTCGTCTACTGTTTCGTCGTCATCGTAAATGGGCTCCTTCTTTACCCAAACAAAGCACTTATCCTCGCCTAGTGAGCCCTGGTTAGTGTTGGTGTCATCGGCTATGTGCGCTGGTGGCCTAAGGACAATCTCTGTCTCTTTCAGCTCATCCGCTGGTTTGATGTTGGCAACAATAGTCTTTTTAAAATTATCTTTTTTTACTATGCCTGACTCATGTTTTGAGGTGGATGATGGACAAGGTGACTGCCCTTTTTTTAAGTACTTTGGATTTGCTCGTGGTTTATACTGCGGTTGGTCATCAACCCTTTCGAGATCGAGAAGCGGAAGTGGAAGGACGTTGATAACCGTTCTGGTGACAATCCGATTGGGAACGCTTGTAACTTTTACCGGGTTGACCTACATAATATAATATCGACACAATCCTGATTAGTCATCTACTATACCTCTAACGGCAAATTCCGCTTTCTTGTACTACCCAAACCAGTCTTTAAGTTACCAATGCATTTCTGTATTTCATTGATTAGTGAAATGATTAACTTATTGTATTATGCTTATGATGATTCGCTTCAGCAACTAATATTCATTGTATTTACGCCGCTTATTAAAGATTCTGTATTTTTTGTAATGTGGAGAGACAATGAACTGCGCTTAGAATAACGGCGACCAGCCTAGGAACGGATAAACTTGCGAGATGTTAATAAAATGAGTGAGAGAACCTTACGTTGCGCAGATTCGTTTTTTATGATATCGTATTCAAGATATATAATAATTAATTAATAATAATATTTTTTATCTTCATCAGAAAAACAACTTGCATTACTTTCTCCGTACCTTTAAAGTTCCGAGATTGACTTGGTGCACATTATTCATTCGAGCGCTCTCGAGATCGCGAGCATTCTCAGCACACTGAGAAACGCCAGATATTCGCCAAACTACTTGATGGCCATCCGGTAAAGCTACTGCCTCGGCTATCTCACACCGCACTCCGCTAATAGTCTTGTCTTTCACAGTGTTTACTAACGGATCTACTTGAAACCACTGGCGCATGGTTAGTGGGCGGTACACCTAACAAAGGAGCAGGAAAACAAATATACATACATATCAATAGAAATAGCTAGAGAGTACAAAACTGTCGCGATCATCCTAAGACAAAAGCTTTCGCACTCCAGCGCTGTATGCACGAAACATGCGAAACGCACACAGACTAAATCAAATTCACTGCATGAAGATCGTTCTGAGATTAACTTTTCGTTGAGTCTAATACAAGCGGATATAGCGCTTAAAAAAAATGAGCTCTGCACTTACTTCTATGGCCATGAGGTTTGAGGCGTTTGTGGACATTTCTTTGCCATGTGATGGTTGCGACTTCTGGGAATTCATTTAGATAATGATGAATGCTTCCAAACGACAAAACCTTCGCCTGAAATTTGTAATCAAAGCAAATTTCCTTGCATAATTGCAATGTTTCTCATAGGACATTATGTTAAACTTAGCATTTTATGAATATGCTCCTAAGAATACGGGTGGAATTGTTTGACGACTATATAAGTCATCACTTAATACGGCGTTTAATTTTCAGAGTGATTTATTAATGGAAATATATTACTAAGATACAACCAAATATCATAAATAGCCTATAGATGAGAAGGCCAAACGAGCAGACAAAGTTGAGAAATTTGTAATACAGGGCAAGCATTTATTTGTTGACTTTTCTCAAACGCAATCAGTCACGACGAATACTGAGAAAGGTTAACTATACCATAGCCGAGAACTAACCAGCTGCTTATGAAGCCCAGTAATTTTCTATAGGTGATTAACACATAACTCAACCAACAAATTGTACCCTAAGAAGCAAGATTCATTGTTAATGCAATATCCACATTATATTCAGCAGCAGCTTTGAGAAAAATAGTAAGGTGATATTTCGCAAATCCAAAAAAAGAAACAATGATTAGAGATAAAGGTCTTTCCCGACAACTTACGTATGTATCACTCAAACGTAAAGTTATTTTGTTATATCAAATCGTTTTCCATTAAAAAGATCTAAGATATTTATACTTATAAACAATATTATAAACCTTCATGAATGAAAACGCAGGTCTCAAGATGCTTACCTTGACAGTTTTCTTATATTACAATGTACTTTTAATTTTACGACAATGCCTTAGATCTATTTAGTCTAGGTCGCTGCGTTCAAGCATATAACTAACAGACGGACACAAATAAGTTATTATCATAGTAAAAACAAGATGGGCAATTCAGAAACTCTTTTACGCTTTAAAGTCTCAAGAAAGCCACATTCGCTAACTCTTATCCAGCAACGTTCGAAACGCCAATTAAGTAATTGTTTGAATCAATTATACCACTTGGAAATGCCATACTGAAATTGCTACTGGTTAATTATTCAAACTGAAGTATATTTGTAACAATAGTAACAGCGTTATTTCTAAGTCTGATCGATAAACTAGTTTTGTTATTTGAAAAAACAGCAGTCACAAACTTGCCAGTAATAATGCTAGGCGTTAACTGTTTCTGAAGATTTGTTGCGCTTTGTTTCAAGCCGTGATTTGCATATGCAGAGTTACTAGACTTGGTTACTGCTAAAAGAGCCTAGCAACAAGAGCTGCTTTGCGAACGATATACGAAATTTTGACCTACAGAAACCGTTCAGCGAATAAAACACTAAGAAGTCAACATTACATACGAGAACAACAACGCGTAACTGAATGTGTCCGGTATGACTTGTTTGATTGAGTCAACCTCGTCTGCTAGCGCGGAAAAATTGTTATGGTAACGATGTTCTGTGTAATAATCTGAAAAAAGAGGCTTCTATTGAAACACATGGAACTGCATTGGACGCAGCGCAATATTACGCAAAAATCAGCAAAGATAAGATGAACATGAATTTCAACGAATAATATAATTATGCCAGTGTTGTTCAGTATCTCCGTCTTTCTTTATTCAATATAACTTATACGGTTGTTTCAAATCGTAAAACTTACTACTTACGAGAGAGTAAGTGTAAAATAGTATATTTCCCTCAGCTACGTTTCTGCATTCTTCTTAAATTTGTAAGGCAAACAATGGCGTAATTATAATAAAACGTGCTTGTACTATTAATTTGCGTTTTATTCTCTTGAAAGGTGCGCTTCTCTTTTGATACGCCGCAAAACCATTTCCCCAGGTATTTTCCTACGTATCGTAAACACTTCAGAAATTGCAGTTTCAAATAACACGCATCTTCTGTTGTAGCTTCAAAAAGATTATATGACTTTTTAATTCACAATAATAAATTGTTCCATGAACATGTTGTTGATTCCTTTAGGTCATGTTGCATGAACACAGTTGTGCTCTCACATCTTAAGTTAAAAAAATCTTAAGTTTGGTCATAACTAATGCATCTATGCCATTTAAATTCGAAAGCTTTTATCCTGCGAACGAAACCCCCAAATTTGTTTTCACTAGTGAAGGTTAAGCACAGCTCAGACTATGCCATTTTTAACTACATGAGACTGCTGAATCATTCTTCTATAGGTATGTATCACGCCGAACTGCTATCAAAGAGCACAATACAGGTTTATTGAGAGCAGCGTAGGTGCACGTATAGGTTGATAGAAAGGTCTTAGTACTGCTATCATGCAATACGCATGCAAGTATCACTCGTGAAGTGAATAGCGTTCGTCTAAATAATTAACTTTGGCGAGTTTATATTCCTCTGCAGCGAAAAAACCGAAGCAATTGTTGAAAAAGTAAGGTTTACTAAAGGACCAAGAAAAAAATATCGTCGCCATCGATTTGTAAAAAATTAAAAAGAAAGATAGGTTCAGTGTCTGTTGAAGCAAAGAACACACTTTCGTGACGTTTTAGTGAAGACCGATAATCATCATGACAATAGCTTCCGCTTTAACGTGTTTGTATATGTTTGCAAACAAAATGGCCCTTTAATTCGAAGAATCATTGTTAACCCAAGATAAACTAAAATGACTAAGATTCTATTTTCGATAGTGAGTATAATGCTAAATATGTAGATTTGAACTAAATTTGCAAAACCGTATATATTTTTCTATATCTAGGATGAGTATTTTCCCTGGATGATTTTCTTTCTTCTTTAGTGCATGTTTTCCATAAAGCTCACTTGAGATTGTTCACTCTTTCTTCTGATTAACTTAACAGTCGCTGAAAATTTAAGAGAAGTTTATATTAGAGGAGGGTTGTTTTTTTCCAGCCTTACAGAATAAACTAAACATTGAATTAGAGAGAAATTTTGTTACGCTTCAGTCGTTAAATTGTAATTTTTGTTCAAAAAATTAGAAATTGACGACCATCACATACTCTTTAAGTAGATGGAGACCTTTTTTCAGCAGTAATTTACTTCTACTTAAAGCGGGGGTGTAATGCTAGTTTAGGTGATATGCGGTTCTATTATTAATTATGAGTCACTTTACCGTTAGTTAGCATAGTTCAATTGGCACAAGTAGCTTTCTTCTATTAGAGAGCACAAGATCATTTCGGACAAGTCAACCATTTTTAATAATTTGTTTGAGAACCGTTGGAAATTTGTGAAATATTTATTTTAGATACTGGCTTGTTTTTTCAAGCTTTACAAAATGAACAGTCTATTAAATTTTCTATGTTTCACTTTCTACGTTTTAGAGGTAAGAATAATGATTTTTACCGAAATGCTTCATAATGTCAAAAAATAAGCGTGACCTACACTGAATTTTATTCTTGATTATGTGGAGGAATACTTTTAGAAAATAATTTATTTTTTAATTAAAAAATGTAATGGTAATTTATTTAAGTTAGGAAACTTTCTCGGCATACGGTTTATATTGTCAAGTGCTTCTTACATTGTGAGCGGGTCATACGGGTCAATTCGATCTTTAAAAAGGTCAAAGATGAAATCATTTTTCTCCAAAAACAGATCGCCAAGGTTACAGAAATGCAACATATGGCAATGGAAGCACTATACTGCGCGACCCGAACTTCCAAAACGTCCACAGCTACGTTTGCAGGAGAATTGTACTAATAATTGTTTGAGCGTAATACATCGATCCAATAGAGCATGCATCCTAGACAACAAAAGGAAGGCTTCAATTCTGAAGGTACATATAGAGGTGCGTCGGAGAGACATAATTCGACAGCTAAACCAAAGGAGCCCACCTGTCACCTCAAAAGGTTCTCTTCAGTATGTCGAACACAATGTCAACGCATGTTCGATAAACGCCGACACCACAACCGGAAACGAGTGAACCTCCATGCGGATTTCCATATTAATAAAAAAGCGTATACTATCAGTGTGCACACCACTCTCTTGAATTTTCAAAGACTTCCCGGCGAAGTAGAGACAATAGAAATTTTACAGCAGCGTACAAAATCTGTTTGGGTTTACATTCGCAATTTGAGGGTCATGCTAAGTTTTTTTTTCAAAGAGCATGATGCATTCATTGCGTTCACGCTTTAACTGTAACATAATGAAGCAACTACTGAGAGATGAAATAACTGCAGCAGGGTGATGGAGTTACAAACACAAAATGAGAAATTGACTAAATTAAAAAAGAGTGACAGTTATAATCGAATGATTATGATACAATTCATGCGACAAAGCTTCAGAGAACTGTAACCAATCACCTCTGAAGGGAGGTGGGTCTGTAATCGAGCTACAACTTGCTAAGCTCAGTGTAACACGAACAAGTTATTAGAAGAAACCGATAATAATTGTCACTAGCCACAAAAACTGTTGGATCATTCCACTTGGAGTACGAGGTATGTTGCGCAGAAGAACTGTAAGGTAAGTGGGTCTAATAGATTTACTTATGTAGAGAAATAGAGTTTTTGCAACAGAACAGCTATAACGGTGGGCAGAATTTCAGGAGAATTGCATTCGGATGGCATAGGTCCGCAATTGAACGATCATTTATGTAAAATTAGCTAGAACGCGAATCTAATTCGTTCTCTTTAGGGTAGGCTGATCAAATAACTAACATTTACATCATCGTGATTATTAACGGATTATATAGGGCAGGGTAATTGCAACCGGATAATTGTCAATGTGGGCTTTTATTTACGCTAAAATTAGTAATCAGGTTCGTTAAATCAGTGGACAAACAGATACTAGGCGAATCCCGCGTGTCCGTCTTGTATACTATTAGTATAAAAGTACTCATAAGTGAAGCAGAAAAACTACCCTCTACGTAACTTCACTTAGGAAAACATTAATTTAAGTAACCGTCGTTATCGCTACGCAAACTCATACGATTATGTCGTGCTAAAGTTAAACTGGAGTGGTTCCGGATGTTAACTAATAACGGTAGCGGCAGCTTGCTCTACTTCGTACGATTGATGAGCCATCCGAGGTGTTAAATGCGCTTCTAACTACGATAATTGCTGCGAATCACTTCTTTACCGCCAGTAATAAAGAAAATAAATTCAATTTCTGCATGCATAGACATACGTGGAAATCATAGTCGATAAGACAGATTGTACCACTTTTTCGAAAACATCGTTCTGGTCCATATACAAGTTTATTCATAATAGCCATGCACAATACTATAGAATGAGTTTTTTGTTATTTTTATTTGCACATCTTAGTCTTTTTTAATTAGGGCCCCTTAACAGTCTACCTACTTAATCTCTCGAGAGACAATGGTTTACATTACATTTTAAATTATACTATGCACAGGAGTAGGTTGCTCCTTCGAGAACCCTTCTAGAAAACTAGAGCCCCAGACTTATTAACAAACCTAGACACGAATAATTTGTGTAACTTAAAACATAAGTTTTTCTTTATTAGAAAAAGCGTTGTTTACAATCCTACAAACAAAACCCAAGCTAACGTGCCACATTTTGTACCTGTTTTACGGGGTGCAATACTGATGCTAACCGAATATTGAGGCATTTAAGGTTATAACAGAAAGCGCATGATATTTTCTCCGTGTGAGGCGTCCGCCCTTAAAAATATCGTATAATAAAATTCGTTCTTATTTCACTAGGTGCGTTTAATTCTACTGCACAAACCAGTTTATAGGTGCCTCTATGCGTAGAGTTTAGTGACAATCCTAGAAGTATAGCCACCTCCATCTTCAACATAAAAATCAGCATTCAAAAATGACAAATTTGCACACTTACAACTGGACACAAGTGCACACACCCTGTATGCCGCTTATACAATAATTTGACAAGAACGAATTTTTTTTTAAAGAATTTAGTACTTAGTAGATTTTGGCTATATAAGGTCTAGACGCACATACAAACTTCGGGATGCAGTTGGTAAATGTAAAAAAAAATACATAAGTTATGGTATTAGCTAAACCTAGGAGAATAGCTGAGAAAATACAACTATAAAGATAATAACAATTACGAAGGTTACGCATATTTTCTTTTTCTACGAATGGTTAGGTTGTCATTATGAAATTTAGCTGCATGGATTAAGACAACAGCACCGACAACTCAAGTCCCAATGGTTTGTCGATCGTAACTTCAATACAGCATCCGCGCAATCTGTCGGTCCGACAATGTTCCACTTCGTGTTGTAGCTGACGCGCCACTTATTTCTTTCGTCGTCCGTGTCATTAAATCATTCTATCCGCCAATCAGAGTGTGTCTGGCGCTCTCTTGTAATTACTAGACATGCTCTTGTCGTCTGCTAGAACGTATGATAAGTGTGGGTGGTGGTTTACGACTGGCCTGTATGGACTTCTATGTGTTCTTTTTCTGTTAGCCGTGTGCTCTCATCATTCTATCTGCCTGCCTGCGTGCCTGCATGCCCGCCCGCCCGCCCGTGACGGGAGCATTTGTTGAGAAGGTGTCGTCGTACATCGTGTAGAACGAAAGAGCCACCAGTCAACGTGCTAGCAGCCATAGGCATTGTTAACATCAGACCTGATCGAGCCGTCGGGCAAAATGCTGCTCGAAACGGAGTCATTTTTGACGGAATTAACCCGGATGTTCCAAAAATCAAGAGAGGCTGGCTCGCTAGTTATCACGATGAAACGGTGGGATGGCCACGACAAACCTACGCCGCGTAATATTGATAAGAAGCCGCCAAAAAGTAAGAAACAAATCAAAATGCATAATCTTTTTTTGGAGCTCTGTGTTGTCAGATACTAAAATATTATAGCAAAGGCCATTGCCCTCATCCGTTTTGAATGACTGTACGCTGTATGTCACACTGCTGTACGATAACTCGCGATTCTCTTCGCTACAGCAACAGATGGACGTCGATGACAATGTCCGCGAACTACGGAACAATCCGTCGGCTTTTAAAACCGAGTTCTAACAGCCACTAGAGTTGTGAATAAGTATATTTTTCTCCTTGTGAAATGTAAACAAAAAGCTATGTTTGAACTAGCAGTATTTGACCAGATTGGTTATATTCCGTCGGCAGGTTTTTGTATTGTGTAGTGATATGTGCGAGTTACTCTTGCGGTATATTATGTGTTCCGCGGTAAAAATTGGTCGATCATAGATGCATATTGTCAGGGCTTTAAGCAGATTCAACGTGTCATATTTTTGCGTGGTGCACCTAGAACACTTTTGTCGCACAAACTTGTGATACACGATGAACCGCTCATCCTGGAGCTAAATAACAAGTAGGTTAAGAATGAATGAATTGTTGCCTGTTTTTAGACGAACGTTACATGCATACGGGCCTTTTAGTGAAGTCGTAATTCTTCCTAGTCTCTTCCACTGGTGTCTGCATCCCTGAACAGCAAGAGAAGCTCAAAGGGCACTTCCGACCACTCTAGCTCTAATTATTACTTTTATTTCACCATTTAGCTAGGTAACATGAAAGCAGATCGATTGTTGTTCTCAGCAGATTATAGATTAGGAACGTCATATTGGTTTCTAATATTCATGACGCTCGACATAGGAAGGCTAAAATTTTCTTATCTATTAAATTAAAAATAGGACAACTGCCTAGTGTTTTTGTTATCGATAAGATCATGTTAACTCTATGTAAACGTGGTATTCAATGTAACGTTTAGACTGTATCTCAAATGTATAACATAGATTTATATCTGGATACCACTTTTAACATTCTGCATTCAAATTATTTGTCTAAAATAATGGCCGTGATCACGATTAGACGTTCCTGATTTGTTAACATATCTATCTCTGAAAGTGCAAGATCGTTACTGTTGAGAAAATCTCATCAAACAATAATATAGAATTTTTTCTGTAATAATTTGATTTCGTTTTGTTTGTAAATTGAAAAAAAAAAATTTTTTTTTATATTCGACGGGTCTTATCATTCAGCATTACAAAATTCCCAATGCAATCGTACTTTATGACTTTGTCTTTCAAATTCACACTCGAGCTTTATCCCATATATATATTTTCTAGTGGATATGTGTAATATATGGGTTATGTTTTTTGAATTACTACCTCCCAACGTGCACAGTTTAGGTGTATATTCTCTTCAAAAGCGACCACAGTCACTCACTTATAATAATAAGAGTAACAATAGAATGTATGTCTTGCAGCCAAAAAGGTAAAAAAGAAGCTGGAAAAACTGCGATCCCTGCCAACACCGCCAAAAGAATACAGGTGTCTTCTCAGAGCGGCCTTGGGCAGCAGGAAAATTTCGACAGTTGTCAGTCCACAAGAGGCAATCAAATTTCAGGCTTCGTATTCCACATTGCTCAGAGGTTAGTCCTCCAACAGCTGCCTCAGTTAACTATAATAACTACTCAACCAATCAGTATGATACTAATAGTTATCTTTTGACTAAATAGTTAACTCTTGACAAATTATTGCTGCAAATTTTCGATTTAAGTCCTTGGCGTTGCTTTTCTGCCTGCGCAAAATTAATGAAACAGTGGTCATTTCAACTCGGATGTAGTTTTTAAGAAACAATGTTTATTCGCCGTTTTTTTTTTGATTGCAGGAAATATCGACGGGTTAAGAAAAAAGGACAATAAGAAGAAAGCAGCTGCAGCCAACTAAATGGTCCTGTAGAATATCGGTCGAGGAAGCATCGTGAATGAAAGCAATTTAATCGAAATGGGTGGGAAGAAACGATTACGGATCTGATATGAACTTCTCGGATGTTCTATTTTTGTGGTTTTGTAGGCTTCTTCCTACTAGCTGTCCGGTCAGCTATTGTCGCTTAGTTTTTATTTTTTTTTGTTTTTCCAATCCCTCTTGTCATGAGTTTACAAACTTATTCCTAATAGATATATTTGTTCACGCATTATAAGCGATAAAACGCACATAGTCAAGTCGGTTTCATCAGAACGGCAAATATTTCTTATTCGACCGTAAACAGTTTAGCTTGTCTGTACTTAACTTAGTCGGTATCACACGTGCCAGAGATTGCAACAAAACAGTTAACGCAATAAGGTTTAGCGTTCCATTAATAATTCGTTAATTGATTACCCAATTTCACCAAAATGCAGCTTATTTTATAATCCTTTTTCACATTCACCCTATACACGTAGAAGAGGTGATGACTTTCGATGGAGATATATTCTTATTTTTTATTTTGAAGTCCAGTCCCAGCGTGACTTCAAAACAGAAGGTGTTTTACTGTCTGGCTAACAGAGGCGTGTTCCAAGTATAACCAACGACCAGCTAAACGAAGTTAAGCAAAATTCCACGAACGCATTTAAATAGATCATACGTGACTGGTCACGACGTTCATCTTTCTTCCTCATGCTGTATCTGTTTGATGTTTCCTTAATTTCTTTGCGTCTTTAGGGTCTCTCTTTAATAAATTCTTATGCCGCTGTCGTCGTTATCGGCGATATCGAGGTATTAAAACGCGTATATATATGGGGGTACACCGCAAGACTTCCGTCTATGGAAAATTGTACATTTGTACGTAAGTGTGTATGTATATGCATAATGAAAAGACTTCACACATCGCCGTAGATTCTCGCTAAACAGTCGCCGCTGTTTAGTTGGAACGACGAGGCCTGGCGCGGAGTTTAAAGGGGCAACTGCCCGCCCCCACGGTGAATGCAAAGTGCACTGTACATATAATTAACTTCAAAGGGATTTAAGTGAATACAAAGAAAGAAAAATGAAATATTCTTGTATGTTTGAAAATGTGGTGTTATCTTTAATGCAAATCAACTTGGCCGTCTTTTTATTTTTGTATTTCTTGGTCATCTCAGGCAATCCCCATTGGATTATAGTAAGTAGTTTAACGTTATAGCATTTCTACCCAGCGATGATTAAATCGCATTATATAAGTTGCATTACTCACTTATTCAGTGAATAATTTGAGTAGTTTGGTCTACAAGGACGAGTTTCTTTACTATATGGAACTCCGCCGAACTACTAGCGGTCTACTTCCGAGCGAAGATCATTGATTTATCAGTAAAATCAGCAGAATTCGAGACCAAGAATTCCCTGCAGGCTAATCTTTATGCTTGCAAGGTAGGTTTTTATATTCGTCGAAGGAGAGAGGAACGAATGGAGCTGGTTACGTCTCATTCAGTACATATGCGCTCTGCATTGCGAATGGTAGGAAAAACCGTCCCTTTCCAATATTTCATTATTATTACTGGAATTGACGGGGAACAAAAACCAATTATACAATTTTCAGATTTTTTATGAGCATTATTACAAGAATTCCAAAGTGTTTGTTCTTGCTGTAACAAAACAACAGACGGAAATAATGCGAATACCTTTGGAGTAACGAAATGCAGTAGAATCAATTATACGCTTCAGTTTTTCGTCGTAAGTGTTCCCGTGTCTGTGCTGTGCCCTTTACAGGAAACTTAAGTTTCAGATTATCGAGCCTGTTTTCAAGTTATTACTGTATCAGGAGTTCGTGAAGTCTAAGTTAAACAGGCCTCATCCTGTCGTTTTTTTTACTCGCAATGTATCTCAACAGCTGTTAACTATGGTACCTGTATTGCATTCAATTGGAGTGCATTTTTTTTTAAAGCTGTAGAATAATAATAGCGTTTTAATAATCTGGATGACATAGAAGCTGTCCTTCAATTCGTTCGACTTTGAAACGCTGCCAACAATACACCCGCTAGATTTGAACACTGCCAATAGAATTCAACTACAACTTGATCCGAACTGATTTGAAAGAATATATAGATGAAATGCAAAAGATGATTAAACTATTAATAAACTCAATGTTATACATTTAATGATAGAGGCAGTCGTACGTTCTATATACCAAGCCTTGACCGCTTGATCTGTATTGAGTCGTTTTATAGTTTTTTCTAAATAATTTGCCCACTTATTTTTGCCTAATAGTTTCTACCATACGGTTGCATGGAGTTCCGGGTGTGTCATTGCTCTTGCGGGTGTCGCTCGACTCGTTGAGCAGCCGAATTTTTAACTTTTCGCGCGCTTCTTTGCCAGACGTTTTCGTCTGCTCGCCCTACTCAAGGATGGTCTATTAGCGTGATAAAATTCAACAAAATTACAAAGATCCAAAACTGTGAGTCTGCGATATTAACACCAAAGTACATTTTAATCATATATCTAAAAAGCAGTAGTATATTATATACGCTAAACACAGATGACCTAAAATAGGCGGATTTTAAATTTCACACGTAATTAAGCCATTACTGTATGGCATCCACAAGAGAGCAAATGTTTGCAAACAACGGCAAAAGTTGCAATACTGACATACGAACCGGCCGAGTAAATTTATTTCATGGAAGTGAGTCCCGAATTTGGCTGTGAAGTCTCTCGTTTTGCATCAAGCAAACGTTATATACAATAATCTTGTTCCAAGCCAGTGAAATCCCTATCAAAATATCGTCTGTGTACTTGTTGTTTTACTTAAGGGTGGCTCTTGGTTTCGTAGAATTCGATAGGTGACCCGCGCATGTTGTATACTTGGTTGATGTGTGAATTAGTTGCTGCTACATATTTGTCTATCGATTGACTGACCAGTCGTCTTGACAGGTCAGATGTGTACTGCAATTCTCTCACAACTCTGTTCGAATCTGACCGAGTGAGTATTAAGTGCTATTGGCTAATTCACTATCTGAGAGAAATTCTACAGCAGAGTGAAGATGGTATGGTTTGGTCAATGCATTATTGGACCACCGGGTTCCGGCAAGACTACATATACAGCTGCCATGGCCGAGTACCTTGAAGAACAAGGTCGTAAATTTGCAGCTGTCAACCTTGACCCAGCTAATGACGAGTTACCGTATAAGGCTTCTGTCGACATTTCCGAACTGATCCGGGTCACAGATGTTATGGAAACATTTAAACTCGGCCCAAACGGAGCGCTAATCTACTGTATCGAATACCTTGAAACAAATTTTGACTGGCTTCAAACCAAGCTCAAAGACTTATCCTCTGATACATATCTGCTAATTGATTGTCCCGGACAGGTAGAGCTGTATACGCATTATACTGGTGTTCGAAACATACTCCATACGTTACAGCGTGAAGATTTTCGCCTCACAGCCGTTCATCTTGTTGACGGGGTATATTGCGCGGATCCAGCGAAATATATAGCCATATTGTTAACGTCACTGAGTTCGATGATCAATGTAGAAATGCCGCATGTTAATGTTCTGTCAAAATTTGATCTTATTGACCCGGCTTTGTTGGCATTTGATACTGACTACTATACGGGAGTAATGGACCTGGAAAAGCTTTGTGAGATCATGGGTGAAGATCGATTTTTGGAACGTCATCGGGGTCTCAACAAAGCTATTGCCGCGGTGGTCGAAGATTATGCACTCGTTGGTTTTCATACGCTAAATGTCAGGGATAAAAAATCACTGCGAAAGGTTTTAGCAGAGACAGATAAAGCTAACGGGTGGATGTTCGGACAGGCTACCGAAAGATTGGTGCAAGAGTATGCGGCAGGACCCCGCATGGGCTAAGGCCCTTGTGAAAGGAATTAAATAATATTATCGATGATATGTGTAGTACTAATAATACAATAAGGCGGAATTCTGCCGTAGGTAGTAATAAAAAAAAACGTAAATCAGCGTGATTTAGTTTACTTGTCGTGAATAAGTATAGTATAATCAATTTTTGTACGCTTATATGCACAGATATATGTATGCATAATAAAAGTGAAAATATTATACGGAAAATATCTGCTCTTTTATTTACACATCGGTATTTACACTTCATATTTTGTTTTTATTTCTGTAAAAATTAGTCAGAATTGAATAGCCAAACAAAAAGGCATAGGTTTAATCTTTACTGCGCATAGGTTTAATCTTTACTGCTGTGATGCTTAAGGCCAGCAAGTCAAACAAAGCGACTTCACACGCGAAAACGGTTTCTGTTAATAATAAAAAATACGAGCGGAAAGATTAGGGCTGTAAATCGTCAACTTATTATTTACTGGAACTGAAATTATGCTCTTGCTGGCTTAGAAAATAGGGGTTAATCATTAATGCATTTGAACCTCGCAATTGACGAAGGTCGCATGAGAATTTTGAATCAAGTGACCATATGAAGCCTTGGCTATAGTCGAAAGATAACGAATTCTGTATTGTCTAAAACAGCAGATAATAAGTGCCACAGTCAGATGCGACAGTTCCGATATGTTTATCAAGGTTCCGTTGCCTGATATGAGCGCGGGTTCGGCGAAATGGTCATTAGTTACTTTTTCTCTCTTTCTGTTACAACCCATTACCATGTAGCAAATCGCGAAAACATTAGATTATCTAGTTTCTATTGTTGACTTTATAACTGGCGTTCTCTTAGGCCTTAGTAGGTGTTGTGTTTATTTGTGCCGAAAGAGAAATGCATTAGACGTTGGTTAGCTTATGTTACGAACACCGCGATTGCAACCTCTTTGTTTGCAAACGAACTTCTAAATAAGCACACGAGCGAACCTAAAAGCGATTAGTAGCATAATTTTTAATACTGAGTTAAATATTACTACTAGTATGCTTTATACTAAAAATATTGAATTGGTAGTAAGGCAGCACTTTAATAACCCACAATTGGACTGTAGCTGTGGTCTGCTCTTCAATGAAACGTGAGGTTATGTACATCTATATATATAACAATCAACAGCGGAAATATGAAATTTGTTTCATGGTGTGAATTCACTTCACGTTTTAACTCGACCCTTCAATTTATTTTCGCACGTGGATATAGTAATGTAAAAGACGTAAACAACGATCTAAGTACATAGTAGACTATAACTATAACCGACTTATTGAGAGCCACGGGTAAAATTGAAAAGAAGACTTATATTTTAGGCGAGCTTGTGAGTCATCATCGAGGGGCCCATACGTATTAAAAGCTAATGGTCATAACCAATAAGTAAACATAAAAATAATGTGGCAGTTCCAAGAAAACACTATTGCTAAGCTGGTGCTTGCACGTTTTGAGTTCGCCAGATACCATTACAGCTAGAACACACGGAAATTTTGTAAACATCAGCTCCATTATTACATGGAATTGTTCTTAAGCGAAGCTTATTGTTAAATTGCGAAACACAGAAATTTATATATTTTAATAGAAACCCCTGTGACGGTCTTCAGGTAATACCTAATATATCATTAATCACACTCTGAATCAAGTGATAAAATAAGCAATCCAAACTATTTATGATGTTGATTCGACAGGACTCGTGAAAGCAATAGACAAGGTGTTTGCTGGCGGCCGTGGAGCAGAGGTTCTACCGGAGGATCGGGTGAGTTCGACCCCAAAGGTTTCTATTATTCTCAGATAAATCAAGGAAAGAAAAAATATGAGCAGTTATTGGACCATTTGACGGAACACAGCAAAGTCTGCATAGACTTCGTTTATGCATATTTTCGTTTCGCCGTTCTTTCACACTTCAAACATTTATTTCATAGCTCACACGTTACATCCACGAGGCTGTCTTTTTATCGGAAGATCCACTGTTTGAAACCATTAGCTATACTTTCATTAGCCAGAATTTGGGTTCGCGGTTCACTTTTGAGTAGTATGACAACCTGGTAGAATTAATCTTAAAAATCTGTCGGTTGGGATCGAAAAAACAGCAATTGCTTTTTGAATTTTTTTTAAAGTAGAATTTAGTGAGCAGTATATGGATTACATTTTCTTGTATCTAATGCATTATTATTTAACAAAAAATGGCATTAGGTAGAAGGCATGAATAGTGCCATGAGTTTATTCGGTAGTCAGTACCAAAATTAATACCAGGATTTTATAATAGTGCTATGGACATGAAAAATTGTCAGTTGAAGACGACGTCGCGCTAAATATATGGAGGATAAGCCTGATGAACCAATGTAATTATTTTTTGAACAATTCATGATGTGACGTTGAATTACTAGAAGGTGTAGAACTTCGGCAGAGAATGCTTAAATCCTTAAATAGTTAGACGCTGCTATTGAATCTTAATTACAGATTTTCCAAACTTTTTTAACATCTAAAGATAAGCCATATGGCTAAACAAAGAGCAAACGCTGCCCTATATATAAAATATAAATTATTCCGTCTTAATGCCTTCACTCTAAATGCGCGATTTTTGATACTGCATGGTTCTTTTTTTCACGGTACTGGTATGCTGAAATTCAGATCGCGTGTACCCACCTCTAGTTACCACATCTGCTGCGACTGGTGCCGTGAGGGACAGCGCAGACTGCGATGTGTGGATTAATCTCCGTTCTAAATATCACCCACCGCACGATAGGTATGCCTGTTTTGCTAAAGATCTTGACCTGCAGTCTCTTTAACTCAACGATATGGGCACATTATGACATCTACCTCGCTTCTTACCTTTCACTAAATGAATTTGTAACACGTAATACATTTAAAATTCGAAACGTGTGGAGGCTTCCATCGACTAGCGCAGAAAATTTTTTGACTGGTCTCTCCTTAAGGTCGAATAGTAAAACGCCACGTTTCGCTTCCTTGGAATTTGTCAAATCCGATATACATTTTATTAGGCCGGTTATTAGACCAAGTAAATTTGCAAATTATTACATTAGTGATTTTTCAAATATTTTTGTTCTCAGTTAGACATCTTTATGGCATGGAAGAAGATTATATCAAGTTATGAAACTGCCCAGTATTTGCACGGTTAGTTTTCTAACCATCGCGAGTTAATTTTGCTTGAATTTTTTTCTCAATATATGTTGCAATTTACAGTGAAGTATCAATTAGTAAGAAATTGAGCCAATTGAACATCGCTATTCTGCGTTTCCACATCTTGTCTAAAAGTAGTTTTGATGTAACTTTGCTAATAAAGTTTATTAAAATAATACCTTAAGAATAACTTAATCCAGTCTTTGTTTTTGTGTCCATCCAAAGTTTTGTTTCACAAAAGCACAATAAAAGTTAACTAATTTGCAACCAGCTAGAGGTGACTTACTCAAAAAAAATCTAATTTATAATCGCGTGATATGTATGTATTGAAGATTCATGCTGTTTTTCACTCATAAATTCGTTACTTGTGAGACATTTAAAGTTGGTTGCTTACTTGCACAGCATTATATGTTGGCAAAGATAAAATGGCAGGTATTTTTCCTTCAACATCTTGTAATCGAATACAAGCCACGCAAGGAAATGACTGCTTTATTTTGAATCCCGCAGGGTTAAAAGGAAAATCAGAAAATATATTAGCAAGTTCTGCGGAAAATGAATGTATTTTGTAGTGAAGTCGGTAATAATTAATCAAGGAGATGTGACTTGTATGTCCCGCAATATACGATGTTTAAGAACGAAACGGGTTAATTGTTGTAGTATTACCCCGTAATTATTAAAACATCAACTAAATAGAAGCGCGGACAAACGACCATATCAAAATATTTGTTGAGGCGGAAATTTGGACATATCCAAATGTCATTTAAGCGAAGCTTTATATATATAAAGTGATCAGAGCTCTAAAACATATATAAGGTTTTTTTGAATTTCACTGTTACTAGTTTTGTGGTAGTGCCATTACTGAAACATTGATCGACGTTTTTTGATACCTATTACGCTTCAGCTTTTCCAGCAATAATCTCACAGATTATTGCTGGAAAAGCTGAAGCGTCGCAGAGATCCTAATAAAGCCCATACAGAGTCCAAAAGAATAATATTTGAACTTATAAGAAAATTCGCGTAATTTTAATTCGTAAAGTATAAGACGCGTAAATTCAGTTGTACTTACGTTAAGGAAGTCACCTAGGTCATTCTAGGTAAGGTTGTGCATCTCATTGTACGTAACATTTGTATACTTCGAAATCTGTTAATTGTATTACAGGACTATGTCAACTGACATCCTTCGCAACGATGCCCGAAAGCTTTTTGAGCGTGTGTTTCAAATATCCCTCCCAGAGATAGAGCTAACGTTCGAAGATGGAGATAGAATTCAACAAGAATTTTTTGAACTTGAAACAGAACTGAATTGTGTGAAGTCTATGCTTAACGACAAGGATCCGATTTTGTGGCGTAAGCACACATCGCATTGTAATAAAGCGTCACACGTTAGCTACAAGTTAAGTCACGTAATCGGCCAAAATGTACCGTTAGTAACACAAGCCTTCTTGAAGTTTTTTGAAATTTTATCGACACATGACCAGGATCTGGTGCCGTCTGCCAGCTTGAAGTCGTTCCATCTTTGCGAAGCACCGGGTGCATTTATTACAGCGCTTGAGCAATTTCTTTTGCAAAAGTACGGTTCTTCAAAAGAGTGGCATTGGCGTGCTTCAACTCTCAATCCCTATTTTGAAGGAAACTCAACAGAAAGCACGTTTGTTGATGATCGACTTATCTTTGAAACGCTTGACAATTGGATATTCGGAGCACTAGGAACTGGAAATATATTCTCGTTGGAATTCAATCAGGAATTTACGCAACAGTACGACCTTGTGACTGCTGATGGTAGCATTGACTGTCAGAACTGCCCAGCCGAACAAGAAATGAAGGTACTGTCGTTATTTTACGCCGAAACGCGTTCTGCGTTGCGTCTGCTTCGAGACGGTGGATCGTTCGTTATTAAGATGTTTACATACTTCCACCGAGAAACCCGAGAGCTTCTCCATGTCCTGTGCAAAACTTTTACACAGGTGACAATCCGCAAACCTTCCTGTAGCCGCAGCAGTAACTCAGAAACATATCTCATTTGTGTCGGCTATAAGTTAGCTATTGGAAGAGAGATAGCTTTAGAGCTTGATCGCTTGGTAGACAGGAGTGGACAGTTGTGTGGTTCACTGAACTACCAGCTCAGCGATCAGTTTCAAAGGACCGTCCTGGATATTTCACGAAGCTTTGTCCAGTGGCAAACTGATACGATCAAGGAGAACGTCGATTTCTTTGATCATATGACCAAGCGACAGCGTGAAAAGCTTGAGATCTCGAAAACAATGGTCTCTGATATGTATATCAGTCGGCTTCACATAAAAAAAATCAAACCTGAAGTGGAAGCATTGAGACAGCTGAGTTGTGCGTGCATCACGAAACCTTCGCTGTCAAAAGGTCGTGCATGGAATGTAGTATCATTTGAGGACAGGGGGAAATCTAACTGGTGGAAAGACCACGCTGAAGAACTATTTCGTCGATTGCAAGAGCTTCACCCACAGGCAAGCGTCTAGGGCAGTGTGTTAGTTAAGAAATTGATGGATGATAATATATATCTATAATCATTTTATAGGTGAGCAAAATCGTGTTTTTTTCCCGTCGTTTTAAGGCAGCACACCACACATTTCTGTGTAACCATTGTCTTTATTTTCTAGTTATTGACAAATAAGCTTGTTGCTCTGCCTGAGGGAAGAAGCATCGCAGGAGCAGTAGTATATGTAGTATTAGTCGGCTTTAATTGCGGGTATACGTGAACCTTGTAGCTGTATCAAGCTATTCTGTCGCTTTGTCACTAAATATACAAAGCGTGTAATTACATGTGGAGAGCATCTTTCGATAGGTGACACTGGCTAAGTTTGACACAGGCGGCCAGAGAACTCTATTCATCACAACAAAATGAATGTCATCATTTTCAGGTGTTTAAAAATCCCGAACAGGATGAGAGGGTGTACGAGCACAGACGTGTTGGAAGTATTTCCAAAGATGATCTTATCAATGCGATGCGTGTCACAACGGGAGAATGCTGTTCCGTTGTTACGGTATCGAAGTTCATCGAACAAAGCCTCCTCGATCTGTTCCACATGATGTTTCCGCGTAACCGGACTGCCGGTGGGGCACATCACCCGCCACAAGCTGTGGAGAACGCGGAAAAGAATGAAATCATAGTTACGATTGACGCCGATTTTTCCACAAATGAAGCGCGGGCACGTTTTTTAAGAGAAGTTGAGCGTGAACTAGAAGCGCTTACTTCAGCTTCAGCTCATACACTTCTACTTGAGGTAGCTTTTAAGTTCGTCGAGCAAAATCCGTAAGGACACTTCTAACAGAACTTTTACTGTATTTAGTTGACAGGTTTCCTATTTGTTGCACTTACGTACCATAGTAGCCTAATAAAGAAATGTACACCAAGTAGATGTTACTGTCTAGCTGATACTTTTTTTTGGTAAATACAATGCGTCTTTGATTCTGTTAATAACGTTGTCGTTACAGGTGACATTTAGTGAAACGGTTTCTCGATTTGCAGCAGGCCTAGTATTCTTGTTAGCATATGTATGCGATGAAGTCGAATTCGCAGCTACCCGCATCGATCATATCTGTTTCACCTTTTCCTTTGATCAACCTTATGACCTAGAGCCGGTTCTAGCAGTAATACAGCCCGTACGTGAGGTGAGTGATCGATTTTTGAGATGTGTCGCGCTTTTTACATGGTTTCGTAATCTTCAAGATTCAAAAGATTCGTCATCTTCAAAATTTGCCCAAAAGAGTTACATCGTTACACCAATCACATATAAGCAAAACAACAGAAACAAGCCTAGGTTTCTTCGAGCACTATTTTTTAGCAAATGATGTGTATTGAATTTAATGACAAAGTTATAAAGATTTGTTTCTTAATCATTCAAGTCCATACAGTCGATTTAGGGAAGTTCCATCATTATTATCTGCAGTTAATAATCTTGTTGATGGGAAATTACTAGTAGCAAAAAATTAGTGGTTTAAGAATGTCCTATTATATTTGTCGGTTATTGGATATCTAGTATAGCTAGTAGAGGATTACCGTAGGTTTCTGCCTATTTCCTTTGAATATATAGTCAAATGAGAACACAAAAATTAAGATGATTGTACTAATAGTTATTTCAAAGTCCAGTGAACTTCATGCAAAACCTTCAAAGGAGCACAGATTCAGATACCGAAGGCCCCCTGTCGAAACTATTAAACTCAGGCTAGTCTATTACATCTGAGCGTTGAACATGCCATTTATTAAAAACGTATTATTTTTTTGCATAATGGGTATTAGTAGTAATAGGTAATTAAGTAGTCGGCATTAACCAGAATATCTCTAATTTTACTGAAGTTATGTAAACTTGTTAAAAGTTAAAATGTAAACTTGTTTAAAAAGATGTTATTACTAGAGCACTTTGGTAACATATTACATACTTTAAGTAAAATGCTAGAATCAACATGTGTAAGTGTTTACTTTGTTTTATTGCAGGCCCTCCAGAATTGTTTGCCGGGAATGACTGTCGTAGAAATTTTCCCTCTACGTACAATATGCCTTTCACCATTCTTCCGTTTTCTACGGCGCTGTAATGAAAGGTACTACGCAACAAACCTGGCGGCGGTAGAGCTGCTCCGTTTAGTGGAGGAACGCAGTAACTTAAACGCGGGACGCACAGCTTCTCTTACAACTTCGTCGTCGTTTGCATTGTCCTGAAGTAAATTGCACCATAGATAGGATAGCACCGGAGAGGAGCCAGTAATAAGTTTCCCAAAGATTATCTATTTTGTGAATTTTCAAACTTACATTTTTATTTACATCATTTTTATGCCAGTTGACTAACTCAGCCAGTCATAATAATCTTCCGTGTATTACTATTTTCATTTTGATAACGAAATATAATAACAAGAAAAAAAAAAGATAAATCGTTGCTATATTTATTTCGATTTTTACGTGTGCTGCAGATTGCATGCTCAGGGGTATAGTCTAAAAACGATGGATTGCAATGCAACACTGAACCAAGCATCAGCATCTTTAGTTGTAAATAAATCACGAGCTCTTTGTTGGAAAGTTCTAGCCTAAGAGGTTACGTCGATCAATAATGCCAATGTATACATCGCAGTAGGCCACTGATGCAATTAGGCGGTCATTCTCAATGTGTGCTAAAGAGCCGCGTCTGTGCTATCACAGTCCTTACCAAGCAAAATTGATCAAGTGGTTTTCTCCAAAGACAAATGTGATTTATGGCGACATAGGAGAATCCTAGACAGTCTACATGACTTGATGATGTAATAGTGCGTAACCTGTACGCGTGATAAATTTGAGGGACACACTTTCTTCTGTGCTAGCAGTCAGCTATCTGATAGAAAACCTAACGATGGTATCCAATAAATAAACTCGAATCATTCGATCTCTCATGTAATCTACATAAAGATTACTGGGTGCATAGGTAAGTGTTCGTTGGCGGTGTTACTATCCATAATTGTTCTGAGGTGTAAAAACATTCGAGACTACAATTGGACTCTCTATAACGGTACTGACAGGTACTTGTCGCAATTTTATATTTCGGATTATTTTTGTGTTATTTTAAGCGCGAAGGAATGCCAGAGTAAGAGAGATCACCAGGTTGATATTACTGGATCTTGTACAACTATCTTTCTCGTCTTTCTCATTTTTCATTAATATATTTGGAGTTTTTTTTTTAATGTACAAAGGAAGATTCTGAACTCGGAGCGTATTCCTAATATAGTTGATGCGAGAAAAACTAGGGTTCTTAATGCTGTACTTCTACATATACGAGCGTGCCAACAATTATCGTGAAAGTTTTTCTGGAACATTAGCCTTTCATTACGATAATATTTTTAGCTCTGAGTTATGAGTGATGATGCTTTGGCGCTCGATGTTCTTAAATGTTTGCTGAAGATTAAGTACGTTTGTGTCCATAATTTGAAGATGCCAATTTGGCCTTTGATATAACAGTGAACCCACAAAAATTCCTCTTGAACTTCTTGAAACTTGAAAAAAGATAGTTTCTTCTTCGAATTATTTATTCATGCGTAGATCTAAACCTTCCCATTTTAAGAAAAGATGGCGCAAGTGACATTAACGTCTAGGTGTAGTATTTACTGATAACCTTCTATCGTTCTTTCAACGGACAGCAAATGTTCTCAAATAAAGATTAAATCATATCATGATTAAGGAATATCTGACGTAACTGTGGTAATGCAAATATCTTTGATTCGTAAGCATCGAGGTAACCCACAACTTCACTCAGAATGGCGGAGACAACAGCGTCTGTATACTACTACTGCAAGGTTTTTGTACTTTTGAGACACGACAGTTTTCAAGCAGTGAGCCTAAGTGAACGTCGGTTCCCGACGCACCAATCAATGAGTAACAACAATACGTACTGAATTTAATCAAAATAGCCTTGTATCAAAACTCCACTAATTGCTCGGTGTCTTTAAAGAGCAGATACACGCAAGCGTCCCTCTAGACTGACTAGTCGATGTCAACATAGCTGTTGCGTTAGACACTGCGAACAGTTTTGCTTAGTCTAAGGATGCGCAGATATCGTAAGTTTATTACCATAGAATACTAAACAGCACAGGGCTCGGGTTAGTTAACTGCAGGTGGCCTTTTGAATATTTTGCCGCTTAAATATTTGTCCAAATGTGGAACCCCAATTGTAATCGCTTAGGATAGCGTTTTGTGAGTATGAAGATAAAAAAAAAAAATGAGCTCTTTAATAACGTTTAGCAACCGGATTCTTGCGAAATGTCAGTGCTCGATGTCCTGATTCTCTTTTGTCCTTCTCTTTCACTTTTTTCGTATCTGCATTATCGAATCGTTTTAGAGGTATGAAAACAAATATGGCAAAAGCATGTATCCACTAATGTACCACAGGTACGCTTCTCCTGCCCTTAGATACTTACTGGTTCGTATGTTCGTCATGCTGCTAAGTGACGACCTACGCGGATACCAGCAAGGAGTCTACAGGTTCCCGCAATGCTATAGACAGCCTGTGTATTGGCGATTAAAAATACTACGTTGGAGCTATTTTGGGCAGTGATAGCGGATTAGATAGACTGTTTTCATAACGTAGGTAGTAGCCGTGAAGAATAAAACTGACCTTAGACGTCGCTGCGCAGGGGGGGGGGAGGGGGCAGGGCCCATGTTGTTGGAAAGTAACAAGGGCTTACAATAAACTCTAATGATGCATCATAGAGTTTTCGTTGTAGACAGAGAATGCGAGCGTTTCGGTTAATTAGTAAAACGATAGGTTACGCGATAAGGGAGCCTAGCTGACAAGATCAATGGCCACAACAACTTTTTCATCGCCACCAACCAATACGTAAGCCAAATAAGTTCACAGACGAATACATCACATTTATCACTAACACGCTTATCATTATTTGTAATGCTTGAGTTTTATTATTTATTATTCTTGAGTATATCTACTTAGTCTTTCATCTTTCTATTCCGTACATTTAATCTAAATATAGTAAGGCGCAGAACAGAAATAAACAATAAGTAAAAACGAAAGCGAATCGCACAGGCTAGAACGCTCTATAAATGTAGTTTCCTAGAAAAGTATTTTATTTCATTCACCCCATAAAAGTGTTAAAACGTTGCCATCACTTTTAATGGCCTTGCTACAACCGGAGCTGTACTTATTTAATTAGACTAATATATCTGCTGTGACCTAATAATAAAACAGGTCAGGATGAATATTTTGTACCGACCCCATATTTTCTACCGTAAATTACTGTTATCAGTAATTACGGTGATGCATTCGTCCACTGACACTAGGTTATATAATACAAATCCATGTAAATGACGATATACGTTGTAAATATGTTTATTCTTTTATTTTCTGATTGCACGAAAATTGGGACGATATACGTTGTAAATATGTTCATTCTTTTATTTTCTGATTGCACGAAAATTGGGTTGAGTAATTTTCTGAAAGTCTGTTATACTTCAGAGCCAGGAAAAAGCCTGTTCCGACTTCATTTAAAAATGTATATAATATTTATGCAACAAAAAATGTGCGAAATCAAGGAGCGGCGATCGACTGTCCGTATCATAGTCTGACTAATGGGTGGGACCCTTCGGAGGTATAAATGGCGATTTGAAAAGCAGCGGGTGGAAACGAAATCCCTTTAGAAGTCAACGAATACAGAACTTAAACCCGACAACGTCAGAGTAAAATAGAATAAAAAAAGCTAACGCGAATTTAATTTTATTAAAGCTACGGTAATGACCTCCATGTTAGCTATAAAAGCTTACGGAGTATTTTTTTTTTAACATATAAATAAATTGAAAAATGTTTAAGGTGTGTTCTTCTATGTTTGCATATTCTTATAATAGTATTCGTGAAACTTTAATATTACGGTAAGTTATACGTTGCTTCTGCTGGCTTATTTCTGTTGCAATCAATAATTCCCGTATTTCATCCATGTAAATACACTTCTGCTCAGAGACTCTCAACCATACATGTCCCTTCTACCTTTCTCAACGGGGTACAGTTTTCGAAATACTTGCAAACGAGCTTGGGAGATCGTAGTTTTTTGAGACTCGGCCCACGATAAAGCCAAATGGATTTTCCATTATCAGTTGGCTTTGAATTTGTGCTGAAGCTGGGGTGTCCTTCTACAGAACGTAGTCTACATTGGTTTCGTTTGACCTGCGCTTGCCAAAACACATAGAAACGCTTACACGATTTAGAAATAGCGGATAAATTAGATGACTGTGAGTCGTTAGTGCTAACTTCATACAGAAAATAATCTTTCGACAGGCATCCTCTATCAGTGCCAAGTACGTTCCATAGAGAATTTAGTGTATACGCGAAGGAATATAAGTCTTTGTGGTGTATACAAGCTACGCTGGCTTTCACCCATGAACATAAAGCGCCACAGTTCTTGTGATTAAACCAGATGGAATCTATTGTCTATTTTAAAAACGAGCCTATTAAACTAAAGGCTATTAAACTTATTTTGATGTCTCGCACACAACCGTCGTATAAGCACGAGTATTTTATCGACCAGACTAGGATAATCATTCAAGTGGACATCTATATAACTTTATAATAAAGCTATCTATCTCGCTTTAGTGAACATCTATGTAACTTGAAGTTATATGACTAGGACTAATCGACAAAATGTCAATTTTGCCAGTTCATATTGCCGGATAGTCTGCTATGAAACGAGCCTATCCATGAGCATGTGTTGTTCGTTAACGAAGAGGCAATAAATCAAGTATGTTTTATTATTCTAGCAGTGACATATTGATGTGACTACTATTTGGAGCACTTCATTAGCTATTGTTGTCGAAATGCTAATAGACTTCGATTTGACAACGTTTGGATGGGAAGAGAGAGAGTGGTGAGGGTGCGCGCAGCGGATTTAACGAGGACCCATTTCGCTCTCGGATCTTTGGAGGTCCTCAGATTTCAACTTCTCAAGTAAAAAACTTGTAACAAGCAGTTAGCGTGCATTTTTTTTTTTTACAAACTTAGGTGACTTGGCTTACAGAAGGCCTTCCAGTGCTTCCAATGATCAATGGGTTAATGATTCCATGAAAGCTAATGATTTTAGCTGCATAGCATACACATCTAATACAAGGTCAGACAAAAAAGTAAAGGCATAACAACCACCATCTAATATTCTCTTCGTGAGTAAAGAAAGGTGTTTTCAACAAAGTCGGTTAATACACGCTTGCCAATGTATTAATGACTATGTCTCTACTTCAGTAAGACACAACAAGAACCTGTTTTGCCGAGACGAACGATGATGAACCTGTTTTGCTTTTGTGGAGCCAAGGAGAATGTCATTGAGATGCCGGTGGACAAAATGGCCTTAGACGATGTGGATACCTTTAGTCTTGGAGACGGTTCATTGTGTGACCATTATCGGGCAAGATGGACTTACTATGGTGACAAGACTGCCCTGGTATGTAGTATTAAAAGTCATTACAAATGCGCTGGTAGATGAGGTTGTTCATCGCTCAGGTATGAAACGATTAGGATTTTTTGGTATCGTATACGTCATGAGTCTAATACAAGAGACCTATCACACAAGCATTTCCCAGTATAAGAGACTATCTCTGAACATATTCTAATAGTCAAAACTAACCCTCAAAGATCCGGCGTCTGCTTCCTAATTCGGTGTTACAACCACATCATAGGAATAGGCTCTACGTATATACTATTCTCTACGAATAGCTCAAAGCCTTGAACAGCGCGCTACAATTGTTTGCATCGAAAAATTCGAGTAAATGCCCGTGGACCTATTATAGTGAGTGTTTATATGTTCCTAATTAATAACGAAAAAGTATAGCATGGTAAAATTCTCATTTTAGTTTAATTTAACATTTTAGTTTAGTCTCAAAAACATTTAGCACAGTAAAATGACCAAGAAAACAATCCACAGGTGGACCACGTAACCGGTGACTTACTGACTTATTCGGAGCTTCTGGAAACAGTGTCTCAGTTAGCTGGAGCTTTGTCTGCCATCGGGGTTACAGCTCGTCAACGGGTAGCGCTTCATGCCGATAATTCGATGCAGTCTGTTCTTGCTCTTTTAGCACTAGAATTTTTGAATGCAACCACTGTTGCATGCAAGACTAGCTTTACCGTTCGTAAGTAAGACGATTTAGTTGACGCTTGTCAGTACAAGCTTATAGCTCAGTTATACCAATAGTAGCTATTGTGAAGGTGGCCCACTGGATATATACAGGCGGCAGACTGCCTTTGGCCAGTTTGATTACGCTACAATCCTGTTTTCTGTTAAAATCCAACAAGCTTTACTGCCGATAGTCGTAAGGCTTAAAAAAATAATCGACTTAGCCGAATTAGATCTAGTCGGTGGTTGCGCGTTTTACGTCTGTAGTCGATATCTTAGTACTATAACAATAACAGCAATAGGCTGAATACCATAACCTTAATTAGTTCGGTTTTATAGTGAGTCAGCATTTATATATATATATATATATATACATATATATAGGGTATTAAGGCGAGTGTTGTTGCTTCGTGATTTCGTGTACGCTACAAAAAGGCGTGGTTCTTCAGTTACGTTCATTGACATTTCAGGCGAGATGGTGTATCAATGTACTGCGGCGGATGTCGAATTTATCATAACCGATAAAGCATGCTATAATGTAGTACTGCAATCACTCGATCAACTTCCAATGGTTCGGGTGAGACTAATTTCAATGAACACATTTGATAATTAAACTTATTAGAATCAATAATAGATGGGCTGAAGTTAAACATGCATAAATACGCTTGAAAAGCAACCTTTTACCTGTACGATAGGGTTGATGTTCAATAGATTACCAATTAGACTCATCCATTCACACTTTTTGATACGTATTTTCACTAAAATTAGGTATTTTCGTCCAGCGTACAGTAATTTGCAAAATGCAAAACGGCAATAAAATAGTAATAGTGGCACTTAATTTTTCCAAAATCAACCCTCAAAGAAACAAGACGGGTTTATATTAGGCTGAAATTCACAAGCAACTTGTGTTTACAAACCAATCTACTCTACTATTGAAATAGTGGGTGATCGCTGGGATGGGATATCGAACGAATCTGGTAAATTTTGCTCGATCCAGAAATGATTAAATGAGTTTTGGATATTAACATCCGGTCAATATAAGTAAGGTCAAGCACTTAATGCTACTGACATCTGCGAAAACCAAGGCTTCAATTAACTGATGCAATCATAGTTTATTTTTGACTGTCGCAAAAAGCTGTTTAACATTTCTCGTTGATTTTTACTACTAGCTTCATGGGCAAACATTTGCGGGTGATCTCTTTGTACGTGTGTTTACGCTGCGGTAACAATTTTTGTACAGACATCGATATCGGTAATCCGATTTTGAAGCTTCGTCTCTTGCAACTTTGTTGTTCTTTTATTCGTGAAATTATTAGAAAGTTGTGGTGGCTAATATGGGTTCGCCTGCCACCGATCTACGTATCGCAGCCACTATGGAGGATCTATTAAAGCGCAGAGCCTGTTTCAGGGTACCAGATGACGTTGACCCGAGTGAAGACGAAGTGAGTTGTCACGCACACCTATGTCTTAGCAATAACCCCCAGCGGATAACGTTTAAACTTTGCGTGCTCTAATAATACTCGAAAAGCAGTTAAATGTTTAATTAAGCTAGCCATTAATCATGAATATCTTCTATAGCACCCTAGTCGTGTTAACCTAAAAATTAAGTTGAGCTCGATAGATACTACGCGCCTCGATTGCTTATTTTACTTCTAAACCGATATACGTATTTTTATTATATGAGTGAAGATGTATGAAGATGAGTCGAAAATGGTACAACTAGATCTTGAGTATTTTATTGTGATATTCAGGTGCTGATAGTATTCACGTCGGGTACAACTGGCCTACCTAAAGGTGTGCTGCACACCCATAGCGGATTCATCGCACAATTCAGGATAACAGGGTACAGCCTTTATTGTCAAGCATTTTGTCCTCAAAGATCCGTGCGACTTAAACTCGGGATATATATATATATATATACAAAAACCTCAAGGTCACTTGTTGCAGATAATACCGTGTTAAGTTGACGTTAGTAGCAAATTCGGCAGCAGTAGATGTGTTAAGATTGTTCTAAATATTTTTATTCTTAAAGTGAAGCGCCTTGTGAAAAAATGCTTTACGTTACAGTTCTATGGCAATAAAGATAGAACTGGTATTCAGGCCATAAACGAATTTATACTGTTAGTGGTTAAGATGCGTTAGTGGATAATGGAGAATGTGCTTCACAATCTGTGGTAAACTCCAGAATGACGCCAAATAGGGTGATGCAATGCAGTTGGTAGGATTGGAAAGGAGTCGTGTATTATGACTTCCTGCTGTCGTTTGGTAAAACGATTCATTCGTAGTATTCCGCCTGCTGTTAATAACTAACAGATTTACAACAAGCCATTGAAAGAGTCGACTGGCCTTAATGAACAGAAGAGGCTTTGCCTTCCACTATGACACTACTAAACGACATACATCCTGAGCTACTCAAAAAAATGGAGGCACTTCGGATGGAAAATTTCTATGTCACCGCCGTAGAGTTCGGATTTTCCATCGCACCACCGGCCTGTCATCTCTTTAGGCCTCTGCAGAGCGTTATTAATAGTTTTAATGAAAAGTTCGATGGAAGAATACAATCACAGTTTTTCGCCAAGCAACCACAGAAATGGGATTATATTGCTACCAGAAAAACGGTAAAACGTCACCGATCAAAAGGGCGCACATTTAGTTTAGAGGTATTATCTTATAATATAAAAAATATTTGCTTTAATTTTGACTAAAAAACGATTAATACTTCTTCGATAACTTACAATTAGGTTGTTAAAAGCGAAACCGGCAGACTAAAAAATCGAATATCTTTTAAACTAGTTAGCATAGAATGATGATTTTTTATATATATTTTTTTAATACGTGTTAGAGGCAATCTCTTTAATTTTTTACATACTCAACGCTCATTCGATTCTGGACAACCATATATCTACCATTCGCGTTCTCATATATAACTCCTCTATCTATGACTTCTTGAAGTAAATCGATGACTGGATATGCTTGCTTGCCAGCTGCGCCTCTTAAAGTATTGAACATCCTATAATTACACGGACTTCGATCGACAGTAAGCGGACTGAATAGCATTTCGCTGAATCCCAAGGTAACCGAGGTACGACGATAAGATGCGGCGTTAGCAGCAAGTACACCTATGCGCTTTCGACTGCCGTGCTACTGGGTAATAAGTCTCTTGAGATAGCAGACTGCATTGATTATTTTTTTTTATTTTATATTCATTATACTTTCGGGAAGTGTTTGATTACAGCAGATCCTTCTGCTGTACATTGCGAGGCCTAAAATTGTTTTTCGCTCGAACCTACTTGATACTACTACTAAACCCGATTTCTCTTCAGAGCGATACGATTCTATTGCCGCGTCCCTCTTTGGCTGGCGGTAAGGGTCAATGCCTCGTTTACGATGATTGCAGGCGGGGTTTTTATTGACTGAAGTTCTGCGAATTACACGTGAAATACACCACATCTATTTCCAACTGGCCCAGAGTCAATTTGCAGGAGATCCATTTTTAATCAGTTACCGCATTTTCACTAGTCGAGTTGCATAATTTGGCAACACGTTACATGTGAGACGCCAGTTTGGTCTCTGAACGCTCAGACTCTAAACTCTGTTTTCGTGAGAATCTTTCTCAATTGCGGCGATTTGTTCTTATTTTTCAGGTTTCGACAACTAGTCCCCCTTGCTGGTCTTCAACATTCCATTCTCCGTTGTTGAAGCGTTTGCACTACTTACATACTGTACTTTTACCTAAGGCTTCCTCGCCTAATGTCTACACCAATTTCCAATAAACTACTAAAATTGCGCTGCGACTTTTGGGCAATGAAAGTTTTACCGCTGGATGTTGTCTTTTAAGACTAAAAGGTATTTTTCTCCCTGAACTAATTTATTCTGGAGTAAACTCAACCGGTCACTCACACGTTTATAGAAGAGGAGAGCCGAGTTTCATCTGCTAGCGGCGGGTAGTTGAAAGATTATGCAACCCTGATTTCAGCCGGATTCTCCTGTAACAGCCTTTTATATTGGGATAATGTAAATAATACAATAAGTCAAAGATTTTTATTAAAAAATAATGGTCAGCTTTCAAAGTTAGCTGACAAAATAGTATCTGTTATTTTCTTGGACTTTGGAGGCTTAGTTTTGCCCCATGTCTTGACACCTAGCATGTATTTGTGCAAGGATGTGCTGATTATATGTTTGCTATGGCGTCTCAAACGGTCGTGCCAGCACGACCAGTCTATGGGATGCGTGCTTCTTTCACACTGATTTTCTAGAAAATAAAAAAATGCTTATGATTATATAATATATCATATGAACGCGTCGCTTACGAATTGGGTACCGTAAAAATTTACGGGTAAGTCTACCCTCATAAACGGCCGACGCTATACGATTGAAAAAGCGTGCTAGAATCATATGTCGATAGCGAAAAAATTGATAAATTCGTATCTCGTTGACGCTTGCTCGTAGTCCATCAGGAAGTAACGTGATTCGCTCGACTGACGTTTGTTTTCAATGGGGCCCACTGAGTCACATATCGGGAAATCTGAGCCTTCAGCTTGCGCTTAACGTAGGTGCTACCAGCATTATCGGCGACGTCAAACGCGACCTTCGAGATTGCGTTCGAATATGTGACACGCACAGGGCAAGTAGCGTACTTCGTAGTAGATTTGCCTAGTATACGACTGACGGGGGCATAGGTAAATCATGCTTCGGAAGATTATAAAATATAGAAATACAAAGCATCCTATTCTCACCAAATGTATTATTCTAATTTTTATGAGTCATACTTTTACGGCTTAGCAGTGCATAAATACTGTCGTATAAACGCCATTTTACGCCGAAGTGTATGCAATGCCTTCGGAACTCGGCTATAGGAAATAAAGTTTTCGCTCAAAATGTAGAACGTAAGAGTTCTACCGTCAATGTTAAGGATCTAGTGGGCCGTCAAAATGGTAACTGAGTTAGCTTTAATGAATCTAGTTCAATATACAACGAAGCCCCACATGGTCGATTTAGCGATAAAAACAATCTTGAACTCTAGCAAGAACTGATAAAAATTAGTTTTCATTGATTTTATGTGGCGATTCAATATCTATTATGAGCGGTCCCCTAGAAAATTTCGTATATATTCAGTGTGCAGTTTTCGAAACTTGTACACAGAGTAATCAATTTCAATAACGAATGTTATCCTAATTAAGTGGATTGTTCTCTATAGCGGTTATAAAATCGGGAAATTTTAGCTTTTAGAAACATATGTTCTTCAGTGTTAGAGGTTCTGCATAAAATGATCACTAAGTATTATCTCATATAAATTTTACTTAGATAACCTATACATTTTGTGCTCGATCATTTTAGGTGACATTCTTAATAGCCATGCCGGTCGTGCTAAAAGCGATGATCGACTTACTGAAAATCAACCCTGGTGGCTGTAGTACACTCAAAACTGTTCTTGTTGGTGGTGGCGTCGTAAGCGTGTCTTGGTCGAAGGAGTTTCTTTCACTGCTTAATCTTGACTGTTACCGTATCGGTTGAGTATGACCTTTTAGGTACAAAATATTTTTCTTAATGTCTAGTTGATCTATAGGCTTACATGTTGTATATAATCACTTTTTACTATCGAAACTATTCAGCTGGATAATTCAGAACTCAGCTTAATAAATATATCATTTGGGGGTCCACTAATCCTAAACGGTTAATTTAGGCAGAAAGCGAAGTCCGCGTAAAAACGATAGCAACGATTCTTTACGAGATAAGACTGCAGTGAAAAAGTTCACTAACTCATATGCGATTACGGGTAAGATACCTAGTGAATGAATTAGTCAAGCTTTTAAGGCGGCCTGGCCCTTGAACGAAAAGATATTTGTTTAAAAGACACTGAATCAATATGAATCTATGCATCTTCAGTGTGGTTCTTTTAAATCTTTCAAATAATGACGGAACTTGATACTGAAATGAATTCCTACCATTTCGTTTCTAGGGAACTTTACAGAAATATTAAACATTATACAATCGTAACTCTACTACTAAAACTGAGGATTTCTCAAGGGTCTACCCTTTGCCAGAAGTGCTTCGCAGCTTCTGGCTCTTGAGGCTTCTAGGACTCCGCTACAGAAGCCACGAGATGCGCGCGTTCGGTTTCGTAGCCACGCATGCTCCACACGCATCCCCTCAGCATTGTTGACATATTGCTAGCATCTTTCGTCTTCCAAAAAATACCTTTCCTTCCTGGTTAAGCCTTCAACAATTTGATGTTTCTGGCCCTCGCCGTCAGTCATAGAAATGTACTCTGAAAACTTTAATTTAACCGTTAGAATGCCCCAATGTTGATACCTAAAAAATCAGAAAGGCCCAAAAAAGATTGTGTTGCTTTCTAAGAAAAAGATCACTTGTGTATAGTTGCACCCTCTTAACAAGCTGTATTGGTTGTGTCGTATTATAGTCTTCGGGATGTCCGAGTCTCTCCTTGTTTGTGCAACTCCCGATCAAGAAAAATGGATAACCTCCATAGGTTTGCCTATGCCCGGCGTCGAAATGAAGATTGTAGATAGCGAAGGAAATGCCCTTAGCCCAAATGAGAAAGGAGAAATCGCCATCAGAGCTCCGTGCAACATGAAGGGATATGATAAAAATCCCGAAGCTACATCTGAAACCATTGTTAATGGTTGGCTCATGACAGGTACACATGTGTCCAATGATTCTTGGGCTCATTACAGGATGCGTCTCAAGCCTGGTATATATATATACATATATATAATAAATGCACTTTTATGTCAGCATTCACTAAACTGTAATTTATTCGTACGTAAAAACGTATTGAGAGCTTTCTGTTAGCAGCAAACGGATGTCATCCCTTTTTTTAATCGCTAGAAAGCTTTTTTGTTTAAGCGTTCATTTTATAAATGTTTTTTGTAGGGGATTGCGGTTATGTGGACGAACAAGGAGTGTACTTTATTTTAGAGCGTATCAAGCAAATGATCAAGTGCATGGATAATCAGCTTGCGCCAGCTGAACTTGAAGATTTCCTTATTAGCAGCCATGAGAGTATCAAGTATGAACGGGTGACTTAGAGAAACTTCCATAAAATTTCTTAATATGTCTACAGCGGTTTGTAGCCATGTTCGTATACATATCTTCTATAATTATTCAGGGGCTAATAACCAGACGCTGGGAATCGAGACTCAGATTAAAACTTAATAATGAGTGGTTAGCCTAACCTTCCATTAATTCGAGTACGATCGATTAAACACTTAGAGGTGCTAAATCTGACATTTTATGAATAACAGGGAGGTGGCCATTATCGGCTTGCCGGATGATAAAGTTGGTGAAGCACCGGCTGCTTACGTGGTACTCAAGGATGAAGTGGAGCCTTCGGACGAACTAAGAAAGCAGATAGCAGACATGGTTAAAGGTAGAACAAGCCGACAGTTATACTTGCGTCGTTTACTAATTAGTTTTATTTTAAGATTTATCGCTTAAATGGCTACGGAATCATAGATAGGCTTTATACAGCCAACGTGCTATTGTATCCACAAGTCTATGAAGTTTTACAAGAAGCCTTGAAAGAATAAGTTCGTTGATACCTAGTTGAAGGCACATGAGTGATGATAATGAGTCATTAATAGTTTATGAGTCATTAATAGTTTATTTGCTTTTCACAGAGGAGTTTTCTGTCTACAAGCATCTTTATGGAGGGGTATTTTTTGCAAAGGAATTGCCGAAAACGGACTCCGGAAAATTCGCGAAAACCGATCTCAAGAAACTTATTTTAGAGGGTAACATGGAGATATTTTAGTGCGTTTATTATTGTCTTCGACACACAGTTTTCCGATCGAGGTCGTTTCTGAAGTATAATAAGGACAGGACTTCCAAAAAGCGAGTGTGTATTCCTTTCCAAGCAATATCACTTTGTAAACAGCTATCAATAAATATATGTAACCATATATTTAACCATATATTCAACGATGTCTTCACTCATGTCATTACCACAAACACATTTTAACAAGAAAGAAAATAAGTTTATTGACAATAATCTAAGTTACATTGACATGCGTGGTATGTTTAGTCTAAATTATTATTATTTATGGAACGATGTCATTGCCACTGTCGCATCCACAAGCTCGGTGACAGGATGATAAGCGCGCATATGTTAGTCTTCTTCTATGCATACCTTTTGCTTCCATAAGTGATTTTTGTCGAAATGGAAATCCTTGAGAAATGTTCCATTCGAGACAACTTTCAGAACAGAAAATTAGAACCGCGCATGCTAGGCTAGCTAACCAATGTGTCCATCGTAAAGGAAAAAAACTCGTTTGACTGTTACCAACTTCTACGATACTCTTTCCAGTTTTCGTGAGAACGTTGGTAATATAATGAATGGGGCCGGTAATAAAGGTACCCAGTGAGAAGTAACGTGGCGATTAGGGCCAGCCAGGCCCCTTTGTTCACCATGTAACAATATAGAATGTGTTGCTTATAATATTAGCTTATCTTATAATATGCTAGCCCGCTTTTTGCCTGAAGAGCTCTTCTCGGTGACAGCCCGATTTCTTCACAGCCATACAAAGAAGGGAGTGTTCTTCACCGTAGTAGACAGATGCTGCAGAAGCTTGCACGAAATTAAAAAACGTAGATTAAATAATGTGCAAGATCTCGCCCCACTCGTACATTTTCATAACTGAGCAAGCTCTTAGTTTCGTATGTAAAGCTTGTAGCTGAAGAAGATATATTAGCTAGCCTACTTCCGTCCAGTGGGACGATAGATGGTTCATCCATGAGCTTATCCCACGTGGCACGCACTATGCTTTAATTTAGACTTTTATAGACAATTTATCAAATGCATTAGTCCCAAATTTGGTATTCAGTAACCTGATGTCAGGTCGAAACGACTGCGTTTCTGTATCCTCGCGGTAGACTTAAGATGGTCAGTCGGGATCTTTTGCGCTTTAGAGTGTATGGATTGGATGTATTAGTGTGTAATGAATTTGTTAGCAGCCTGATAGACTGTCGAGCAAACACGGGATACATAAAATGTAATATTTTTTTTATCATCCATAGTTTCACATACGTATGTATTCCTTTTATATATCAGTCTGTATATTTTCTATTTCTATCTGTTATTCCATGTATTATTGCACATATTTTGTGCATGAAGTTGCCTACATCAGGCTCGCGGAGTATGATGATACATACGAGCAATAAGTTTTAAAGAACGCGTCTCCATTATCGGTTCTTGTTGACGTTGCCAGGACCATTGGTGGCGTTCGCAGTGGGGTCGTTGCCGTCCTCGTGTGTTTCCTGTATGCGACAGTTACTATTGGCCCGAAACTACGTATCGGTATCACTCGATCGCATTCACTCCTGCGCTGACTCTCTTCCAAAGAAAACTGTCACTGAGTTCGGTGAGGCGGCTCCAGAGGAAACGCACAAGTATAATGTCAGCAGCCTGGAGATCCCTGTTTCTAATCCTTCATACAATTTTACTTTTCCATTAATAATTGGTTCATCATTCTGTCAGTTCCTTTTATTCCGCACATTTTTCAAGATTCTATTGCTGCTGCTGCTTTCCTAGTTACTGTTGGTGCACGCCACCAGCCGTTCCTCCTCCTAGCCGGTCAATCTTTTGCTTTTCCTGTTTCTTTTGTTTTCCAGTCCATTTTTTCTTGTTGTCTGTCCTGCAACTACTTCTGAAGGGACAGTCATGGTCGTGTGCTCATGTCGCCAGTGGCCGCCGCGTGAGTGACGCCGGTAACAGGGGCGGGTGACGACTGCGCAAGGCGACGCTAATGTGTTTGCTATGCAAGCGACAGACACTAAAATAACGGCGACACGCGTTGATTGTAGCGATGTGTCACTGAGGCGAAAACCAAGTGAGAGTAGTGAGCAAAATCACCGCTAGAGACGGGAGCCATGATGGCGACAGCGGCGGCAGCGAACCTAGCGGTATAGGTGCGTGCCGCCGCGTCGTCTTGGCGGGAGACCTCGAGCGCTAGCTAGCGCTCGATGCCTGCCTGGCCGGCTTGCTGGCTGGCCGCCGTACTCGGCACAAAGGGACACGGATAATATTGGGAGAGCGATCGTTCTCCGTGAAAAACCCCGCTTAAAGCTGTTCGGGGAGTGTCCAAGAACAAGAAGCTCAAGGCGAATATTGTCAGCCGGTCGACGCATAGAGCAAGCTCTCTCGTCTGCTTACCTGTTTCGCTAAACGTAAAAAGTTATTGCCTAAATAATCATAGTTTGAAGTTATTTGTTAGCAGAAAAAATAGACCCGAAGAACAAAGGCGGCAACGCGTTACTATCATAGACGACGTACGCGTTATCGGTATTAGTGAATGTAGGACTGCTGTAACATCCGCCGACATACGAATAAGAAAAAAGTGAACTTGTATCAAACTCTGCATCATGTGGGTGACACCGTTAGTTTTGTTCTCCGCTATCGTTGGTCTCTCGTCTCTTGACCCACTCTATCCCTCGGAGGTAAGTGTTATACAAAATCACAAAACAGAACCGAAAAGGCTATCGAGAAAAGACGAATTATCAGTATTTACATCTGCGTCCCGACAAAAATATCAAATGCTGACAACCGAAAAAACCTTTGGAAGGTCATAGCCTGTGGCACTGCAGGATATAATATGCAGCACCGATTCTTGCTATCCTTTGTAGTCGATAAATTGGATTCTTGACAAAATAATCAATCCGTAATCGAATTGTATAAGCAGTGTTCCACGACAAAATAAGCTTAACTTTTACTGAGTTCATCCTGAACATTCAGTATAGTCCGGCACTTAATATAAATGCAGTTACCCTAATTGGAGCTTACGAGAGTAACCCTTTTTTAACAAAAATTGAGCCAATTTCGTAAAATGTAGCGCTCATAATAAGTTTTGGCTATATTCGACCTGTCAAGTACTCAGGAATATTGTACTGCGACTTATAGATTCGCTAAGACCACTGCAACCAAAATGCTTATGCACAGCAGCACGTTAAGTATCTTAGTGCTCAATCTACAAATGCTTATACGAAGGAGCATTACTGTTTGATTTTCCTACGTAGGTGGAGGTTTCCCGCGTACATTCAAAATTGAAATACACAAGCCTGGGAGATGCATTTGTCGGAAGAGCCTGAAATCATTCCCATGAAAATTTTATGTAACTTTACTTAACGGGCAGACTAGTAAATCTTACTAAAACGATGGTTTTAGATACAGTGGGCATAGAGTTATAGTTACTTCCAAATATGCTTATGTTGATAGCTCGCGGAAGTCACTACGTAAGTTCTGCGTTCAGTAGTTTTCCTTCTATTGAACTAGACAAGGTAGTATAGTTGAGTGAAGTTGTAACGGAGCTTAAACAATTGTATTTTGACGCGATAGCTATTGCCGTGTATGTTACATTTTCGAAATGTAAAAAGAAATTTCAATTAGTATATGAACTCCGAAATTACTTTTTATTTATTCTGTCTTTTTATTATAAAACTCTATATTAAATGAAATAGTATTAAATGATTAGGCTCCCGTCTTTTCATTATGCGCAAAGGATTTTAGTATAAAACACTAAACGCGCAAGCCTGAAATGACAAACGCCACACGAGCATTTATTGTTTGCCCTAATTACGTAACATCTACGCATGTGTTAACGCTGGCTAAATTTTCCGCGTTAATTGAAGTAGAGCGGCTTTGATCTGCTCACAAGGCTTCCGTGAAAATAAAATAACCAGCTTCAATCAATATGAGATTTTAATCTGTTTCTGAAAATTATAAAAAATAATATTTTAGAGTGAACTCGTATAATAGAACTACTTAATTTATCTTAAAAAATCCACTTAATTGGCTCGTGAGTAAATTGATTTTTTTACTAATGATTTCATTTGTTAATGCTTTTGAGACATTTATACATTATTACACGTGTTATTATTTTTGGTCAATCTAAAATACCTCAGGAAAATGTTGGTTTTTCGAAAAATCTTTATTATTCGGATGAATTGCGGTATTAGGTATAATTAACGTACGTGTCAAATATTCTCTTTATTAGAAATCTCTATACTGTGCTGTTAAGAAAAAAATTGTGCTGAATAAAAAAGATCGAATTGATTTCTCATCCGTGCAGCGAAGTAGCTTCATGAGGCTAAGGCATCATACCAACCGAATTCTGAAAACGGCACCAAACTTTCCTACAAATCAAGTTTTTCATATGTGATTTTTAAGCCATTTTTCGAAAACCTTGCCAAAGAATGGTGCAAAGAATCAAACAGTATTAAATTTCCTAAAACGAAGATTAGGGATAATTTTTTTCTGTAAATAAATCAGTGTTGTCGGCGGTCTCTTCGCACGACGCTCTTTTTAATACAAATTACTTGGCTCATAGTAATGAATCACCATTTACTAAGCGGGATATTCCCAGTAATTTTTATTAGGCAAATAGATAAAAGTACTGCGACCAATTGCTCACACATCATCGGCTGAACGGAGACTCAGTTACAAAATTATCTGAGCGGCCTCGGTAAATCCTCAGTATAACCTAAACCTGCTGACATGTAGTACAATGTTTTGAGGTGCTTATCCTTCGTTTAGTTATCATATCTATTAACCCCACAAGAAACATTTATTTTTCTATCTACTTTCATTTAGAAAGTTCTAGATTTTAAATATGCCTTCTTATGAATTGGACAGGTGGAAATGTATTTAAACTTGCAGCAGTGCAGTTACCTAAACATGAATGGCACCCAGACAGGCATCACATGCAGACTGCCCGTATAAACGAGCGTACTGGCTCATCATCTGCAGTGGCACACAAACAGTGGCCCAAAAACAATTTTGGGTGGATAGAAGTAAATACAAAAGCGCGGAAAGCTGCTAAACAGGGATTCCGCGGATGATTGCGCACGTAGGGAGTGTAGATATGCTATAACATGGACGCATGACTCGCTGCTATCTGCTGCTGTCGCCTCTGTAGATAAAGACCTAACTGTCCTTCTGCGGCTGATCGCAAACCATGCAGGCCATTGCTGGCACTCGACAGACAATGATTCTGAATAATTACCGAAATCTCATCATTGTCGCCGTTGTTGTTCTTGTCATTGCTTTGGGAATCGTTGTCGAAACAAACGAGGCACCCAAAAAATGCCAAAAGCACAGTCACCAAACATATCTGGGTGACTATACGACGTAAGCTACCAAGAGCTGGCGGCGCGTCAGTGAGGCGCCCGCTTTTGCTTCGTCTACAACACAGTTGCTGGGTTAGAGTAACATGGTGGTTTTGTGACTGTTGCTTTCTATAGCACGATTGCAAATGCTACACTATATGGCTACTGTCTAGTTATGCCATTAGACCTATTCGGGCTAGAACAACTGGCTCGTCTGTTTGGCTTTAACTATCATAGTTGCTACAAGCAACCAGCTCGGCAACTAAAGACATTTTTTTTTCTTTGTCAAAAGCATAGATATGTATGCGTATATGTCTAATTGGTATTCATATACGAATTTGTGCCTACATTGCCCCTACCGAGTGACCGAACGATCAACGAATCAGCTTCTCGCAAGGCTGACGAGAATGGGCCGTAAGGTGACAAACGATTGGAGAACGGTTTCATTTCTCTTCCTTACTTTAGCTAGTGGTGTCTTGATCGTGCCCGCCCATTATGTTCACTAACTGACCCGGTCGCCAGCTTCTTCACGGTAATGTTGTTGATAACAGCGGAAAGATATACTTCTCTAGATAATGATTGATGGTCGCAACGATGTGTTGACAGAGGTGGGTCGACGCAAGGACTGAAGAAGATTACTACGTCTACCAATTTGCATAAAGTTGGAAGTCAGCAGTTATATAGTAAACACGGTGATGGTGAGTCGATAGACAGTTAAAGAGTCTTTATAGAATTAGCTCAGTGTGAACCCCGTCATTGTGACATTGAGGAAAAAAATATAATTTTTTTTTATAGACATCAGTGTCACAATGACGGGGTTCACACTGGGTTGATTCCATAAAGATTCT